GGACTTCGATTTTATTCTCAGTGCTTCTCAAACGCTATACTGACGAACAACTCCATATCATCAAAAGCACAAATTTGAAAAATGACTACATCACTAAGGTTGAAATAAAATAGACGACCATAATTGGTGGTAATGCCAATGTTTTTGAGAGCAAAAACCTATCTGCATTTAGAATGTGGATAAAACATCTGGATATTCAATTTTTTTTTTTAAATAACTGTAGAGCCAGACAATTTTCATACAGAACCAAAATTAATCTCATTCAATTGATCATTTATGGAATTCTAAATGATCATCCTGAACTTTGGTTTTCTCTTAAGCTATTGAAATAAAATGGTCCACTGTCATAAGTGAAAAAATAAAACTTACTAAATGCAATTACACCCGACTCATATCTGTGACCCATGAACCGCTAAAATTCTTAATATTCAAAAGACTTGAGTACATTATTAGATTGTATTCCTCTTACATTCAGAATATCACTCTTCATTACCATTCCATATTCTCTAAAATCGATTGCAGACAAGCTATGTCCTTAAAAGCCAAGACTGCTAGGACGTCCAATCATCAACAAAAGTGACGACAGGGGCTCGTTGCTAGCACCATTTAGTGTTTTATATCTTGTGTATTAGGGCTAGGATTGATGGCATCTGCGTTCGGGCATTATTTCCGGAAAACTGCCCTTACGTAGCCTACAAATGAAGTGTAACATGTTTACACAAAAAAGCATGAAAAGCAATGAAAACTTGCAGTAACTGCAACAAAGAATATGTATGTCACTGGTATTTACACACCGTTAATACTTGTATTTTGGCGTTTCATAAAGCTTTTGTTCTTGATATGATCAAAGCAGAACGCACAGTTAAAATGCGCTTCCTTTATTAAAAAGTAAGAATTTTAAAACTAAATACACAGCATCTTTCAAAAGAAAAACTCATTTACAAAAAAAGAAAAAAAAAAGCATTGACAAAAAAAGCAAAGAAAGAAAAAATGTTGCTCTATTGAACACGTATCATATAATAATAATATATTAAAGTGATAATAACTCTTCATTTTGGCCAAAAAATGAATGTTCCTGGAGTAAACAAAATTTTCCCATACTTACCAATTGTTAATAAATTCATTTTTACATTCAAAGCTAGTCCCTGGTTTTTTTTCTGAAAAGTTTTTTTTTTATAATCTCTCAAGAGATTATAGCAGAGTATAGCCATCAATGAGGTCACGTGGTCTAAAGACAAGCTCAGATATCAGAATAATAACTATAACTGCCGTTTTTGTGGCAAAACAGAATATATTATATTTCTATGAGTTGTTCACAATGTTTTTATTGTGAAATATAGATCTCATACGAAGAGTTATTATCCCTTTAATAATTTATTTCAGCTTGTAATGTAATGTGGCTGTCTATGCCACTTCTTTTTCTGCTATTTGTTTGCATAGTATAGGAAAAATAATATAAATGAAAAATGTAACAACACTAGGCTATTAGTGCAAATAAGTTGAAGAATGTAAGGAGCGCTTTTTGCTATAAGGGATTTTTTCTGCGAGTTAAGTAGGATGTAGATCACTCTATATAAGAGACGCAGTAATACACCGATAATAAATAAAGAATTTTATTTCATTTTATTCTACTTCTATAACACAACACAAAAACATGTTTTAGGAGAGTGCTAAGATTCTACAAAATGAAAGTGACGAGAGATTAAGAGGGATAAAGGAAGATCTGAAAGTTGGCCGATAGTATGTAAAAATATTTTGTCTTAGTGATGTTTTTTTTTTTTTGCAAGATTGTGACAAATTGAAAGAGCTTTTGGACTCTAAAATGTCTGCTACATGAATTTCCTTCAGTTAATTGTAAATAAAAAAAAAAACAAATGACTAAATTTAGTGAATAGACAACAGCTTCCCCACAGTAATTTGCCCAGTTTGTTGAATTTGCATTGAGAAAAGCTTATAATAACTATAGAATGAATGATAATTTAGTTCATTGTTCACCCTCTACCCTGGCCCATAACTTACCTTGAAGGGCCTAAATCCTAATGGTATCACAATAAGGCACGGGCTCTTCAATTCCCATATGCTGATATCACTTTCTCCATTTTAACCTTGTGAAGTAGACCATCAGGCCAGGCATTCGCCAATGCTATCTGTCTCAACATCAAAACAGAATTTAAAAGACATAAGTTTCCTCTCTTTACCTCCCCCCCCCCCCACCAATCCACTAACCTTAAAAAAGTTCTTCATTCTAGAAGTAGGTCAAGGGGAAGATACACTGCCTTGCGAAAGTGAGCTGTAAAAATTAATGTGGCTAAGGGCTTTATCTCAAAAGTTAAGTAAAGACTTTCTTGTATTATTCTCCCTAATAACATTACTTACCTTTTACGGCTTGGAAGATTTCTATTTCAGTGAAACGCCATATGCTTCTGATGTTCCCCATGCAGCAACCTTATAAACAGACCATGGCAAGAATCACCACCCAGGCACTAAGGATTGATTGAAATGATTACATTTGCCACTCTATTTGTACTTCTTATGAACAGTGGGAGCTCTGTCAGGAGTTGCCACGATTGAATGCTGCAAATATGAAGGAAAATAGAGAACCATTGTCCAGTTTGTTTAATTTTTATAAATTGTTGATCAAAAGCAAATGACCACCTCAACGAAACACACACACACACACACACACACACACATGGAGCCGGTATGAGCCTGGTCAGGAAAACACCAATAATGAGTAATTGAGCTATTAGTATGGGAGTTCTAGTGTACGGCAACTTAGGTCGTATGCTCGCCAGGGAGATGTGAAAGGATGACAGTGACCACTCACTTATAACAATGTTAAAACGCGTACTAAAAAGTGCAGGTTTTAGGGGATAAAGTAAACGTATGAATGAGAAATATTTCATTTGAATTTTTATCTTATTGTCCTATTTATCATTTTTTTCTGTTTTTTTTACTAATGCTATTGTTTGCATATATACTTTATTTAAACCATAGCCTATATTTATTTACAACTCTTATTAGTCGCGTTTCCATGAACAATCAAACATTGACCATCTTCATCTACACTTGAATTTGACTTTTACCTACATCTCCCCATAAAATGCGCTCACATCATTTACCCAACCATACTTCTCCACAACTAACACACATACGTCTGTATCTTCCCTTCAGCTTGAATGTGCTTACTCCCGCATAGCAGTTGGTACGGTGCCAAGAGGCGTTATTGCCTCTCTGATCCTCTAATTTGTCCGTTTATTTTACCCTGTTTAGAAATAAATTCTGGACTGATGTTACCTGTGAACTGAAACTTTAACAATGGTATTCAAAAGAAATGCAAAGGGGGACCTAATCATATAGTCCTGCTAAGCCTCCTAATGCTGAGCAGTGTTACAAGACATTATAGGCGGACCTAGTGGAGATCTTGAGAAGAAAATAAAAGCTGTTCTCGTTCCAAGCTAAACGACATTTTCAGGGTGCAGATAACGCAAAGATACACGCACATTGTATATGGTTAATGCCGTAATTTTTCTTTAATAGGTGAGGGTACCACAGTACACCAAAGGATATGTAATAAAACTGAAATATAGGACTCTTTGGTCTCATTCAGATTAGGGGACTAACTAGTCCGAGGGTCAAATATGGCCAACCCACTTGAATACTTCCCCACGGGATATCTATTCAGTGTCTATTAGCAGATTAGACGGAAAGCTTTGTAGTGGGTCGCCATATTTGACCCTCGGACGAGTTAGACCCCTATTCTGAATGGGGCCTTTGAAACCTTTTTATTTTGGTAGAATCTTATCCCCGATTGTGGTATTTCAGTGGGCGTTGATAATCATCATATCATCAAAATATGTTCAATGATGCCGAGTTTAAAATGCCAGTGGTTAGAAAAACTGTTGATTAGGCCAGACAAAACTGATAAGTTGATTAACTAGTAGCGCCTCCCTAGCCTGTAAACAGTTGCTAGACCAAATTCATTTTTTTGTTTTTCATTATAAACGTACATGTATGGTGTTGGGCACATAAACAGAGCTGATGGAATAGAAAAGCAAATACTGTGTGGAAAGATTTGTGGTACCAAAAGCAGAGGAAGACAACGCACTAAATATACAGACAGTCTGAATAGCTACGCAACGAGGAAAGAATCCCCATACAATGAACTCATCAGGAGAACTGACAACAGAGAGGAATGAAAGGCCATGATCGCCGATGTCTGCAACAGACCTGGCACATGAAGAAGAAGTATTGTGTTGAACAAGCTTAACAGTTTTTTACTTCAGGGTTATGAAATTTCAAATCTGGCGTGTGTGCAATTCTAAAGCATAAAAACATTTGCACCAACGTTTCTCTTGGTGCCAGTTGTGAATTTCAAACACTAGCCAAACCAAAACCAAATGCATTTTCCAATTTGAACGAAAGAATCTGTGTTAAATCAATTCAAAATTAGTACCGGTCGTACTCGTAAACCAACTTATAAATTTTGTCTGGTCTAGCCAGCAACTGAATAGGGCACCAGCATAAATGCATATTCTTCTGTAACAATATTTATATGAAATATTGTCATATTTTCCGTTCACCCTATTAATTTTTTTCTTGTTTGTCAAGTAAACAACCTTAATGTATGCAGGCAGGAAACATTAATGTACATGTACCTGTTCCTGTTGCACATAATGTGTAAAAAGACTTAAAATCCATAAAATATGAGGAAGGGGGGTAAGGTGAAATAGAGGGATATACTGCAGATTTTTTTTCTCTTTCGGATTAATATTCAGGTTTGCCGCGTCATCTTTTAGTGGTGTTCAAAGGGTCTGACTGTATTCTATCAAAATTAATTTGTCTTATGAGTGATATCACTTACATTTGCAGTGATTACATAAGCAATCCCCTTAACACCCTCAACATTAAGCCACGTGTTAGACCTTTATGATAGACAACCGCATCGTTGTGGTCACGTTGCAAAATCCTTGACTTCACCCTTATTAATTATCCCTCTGTGCATTATTGCATCATACGACTTCGCTCTCTGGCAAGGACACCCATGTGGTAAGTGTCTGTTACATACCTTTACACTAAAACGGTTTTTCAAGGCGCTATATATTATTGGGCTTTCTTGTTTTTACGTTCGCAATAAGGATGTGTTATGACCAACCACAGCAGAAGACCTTAGACAATTAGATGGAGCTACTGACACTGATGAAGAAAAAGAATTGTGGAATTGGATCCTCTCTCTCTCTCTCCCTCTCTCTCTCTCTCTCTCTCAGGAAGGCGTCTAATTAGAAAGAGTGGCATCAAAAGTAAAAAGATTATGAGTTATACCACTCATCCTACTAATGAAATTTTTAATCCCCTTACAAGTAGTTTTTTAATCCCGTTATTAGAAGTTAAATAGCAGTTTTTCACGTTTTATGCAACGAGAGTCAGTGCGCACTAAATACCTAACTCATTCCGAAAGCCGACTCCCCTACATACTATGGCGAAATACTAATTTCTTTTCATTATTTTCATTATTATTATTATTACTGCAGTTGTGGGTAACTTATAATCGTTAAACGTGTTGGTACGATTTCCAGACAAAAAATCCGATAGTCAAAGAGTGGAGGGTTTGGCTTTTCTGAACTGAAACTGGAGATCTTTAAGGCCATATAAGTCGAACTATTGAATGACATAACCGTAGAAAGTAGGTTGAGCCAAACCAAATATTCGATTGATTTAAAATATCGATCAATCAAATTAATTTATTTTATATGCAAACTACTCGTACAACAAAACATATATATACATTAAGAGTGGAAAGGTGACCGACTTCAGCTGATCCAGCTATCACGCTTTTCTGCCTTTGTTGAAGTAATATGTATGCATAAGTTGTGTTTCCACATTTTTCATATTTTCTGTTTCAGCTATGATGCTGCGTATCATACTGTGCATAACTCTGTGCTGTACTCTGGCGAATGCCTACTCCAAGTAAGTTTTTATACTTTGTGAAAATGGATGTTTTGCACGTTCATCATTTAAGTTTCTCCTTTTAATAAATGCAGTTGGCTATTAAGCAGTCCTAATTTTATAGATTATTGGCACGAGTCTATATTTTACCTGTATGCATGTACATGTGCCCTTCCTCGTGATACTGCATGTAAATCCAACACTTTTGAGAAAATGTCCAAATGTGTTTCCAGCCTTTCCATGTGATAGGAATAATGATGCTTGTAGAATAAGCACCCTTTACATCATCCATGCAAATCTGGGAAAGCTGTAGTAGTTAGACTTATTATTTTCTTTATTTTCATTTGTACACCATTAGATAAATTACTCAATTTTAGCCCACAGAGTATTGTTCATTTGGTACATGTGTACTAGGATGCCTCCCAAACCTAAAAAATGTTTCCAATGAAGTTTATTTCTTGATTTGGGGCCCCGTGGGTCCCAGGGTAATTTTATCCTGGTTGCAACACTCATGATTAAGGTATTGTTATAAATGTATGTTAGCAGCAAAATCGAACTCCCATTCCAGGTCGTACATGATAGTTTTTCCGAATGCTATTCGCCCGGGAATGCCATTAAAACTGGGCGTGACCATCTTTAGGGCGAGTGCGCCTGTAAATGTGACTTGCATTATGGCCAAAGACAACGCATATCTCGCGTCACAGAGTGGACTTTTTGAAGCAGGTATTGTTACAGAAAGTGGAATAGTTATTGTCTTTACCATTCAAAGATTATAATTAAACCCTTTTATTAGCCACAGAAAGCCAAATCAATCATACTTTAGCCACACGCACTTGCAGAGCTATGGTTGTGATAGGAGCTGTTAGCATTTTGAGAAAATTGTTTTTTTGACGCACCGTACGTCATTGCGGTGTGCAAATAAAAACGTGCCCCCTTTGATATAGCGATCTTAATTCTTAATTCAACTGTCACTTTTTATTTTGAATTTTCTTTTTCTTTGAATTACAACTCCATCACGGTTTACTTTCAGGAGAGCCTGGAACCCTATTGCTTCAGGTAACTGAAAAAAAATCTCCATCATAACTTTTCCCGCATCCTCCCGCATTCTGCAAACATCCTTCGACTCTATTAAAATTCTCTTTATTGGCTTCAAACTGGTGAATTGTTTAATGTATATCAAACAGTGTTTACCATTTTGATTACCGCAAAGGTATAATTTTTGCTTGCCAGAGATATGTGAATTATTTATGCACTGTCGCATAATTTAGACCTCGCTTTATTTTCTCATCATCTTTGAATATACAGGTTCCAACCAATGCAACTCCTGGGACATATAAAATTCGCGTCGATGGGACAGGAGGATTGGCTTTCAATAATGAATCCCAACTAACTTTCAAGACCAAAACAATGTCTATCTTGATCCAGACTGACAAGCCCATCTACAAACAAGGACAAACCGGTCAGTTTTACACGATTACAGCGGGTCCAATTTTCTCGTTATGCTTCCTTAGTGTCCGTGTGCTTATAGTTTATACATGTAGAAATGCAATGTGATATCTGAGATGCCTTCACAATGGCACACCCTTTACTTTTTCAAATGTTTTGTCGAGAAAGATGGTGGTCCAATATCTAACGTGAATGTTTCTTTTACTCCCAGTGCGAATACGAGCGTTGGCTGTATATCCCGACTTAAAGAGCTTCAGTGGACCGCTGACAGTGGAAATTTACGTAAGCTGTAAAGTCAATGTGTCAGCCATCAAGCGTAAAGCATCCCTTTAAGACCACTTTTGGTAGCCTTTTTTGGTAGCCTTTTTGATACCTTTTAGTAACAGTCAAGCGTCAAATCCATCCTATCATTGCCCTCTAAAATAAATACAGCCTTGTAAGAATGACAAAATTCAAGCCAAACAAAGTTGATTGATTACTGGAAGCGCTTTAATTTGGTCCAGAAAATCTTGCCTCCCATGCCTTAAAATTTTAAACATCTTTTACCAAAGGACCCGTCGAATAACAAAATCAAAAGCTCGGTTGATCTCCAAGAGTCTTCAGGAGTTGTAGCCGCTGAACTTCTTCTGTCTGATCAGCCTCCGCTCGGCGCCTGGACTGTCAGGGTGACGGCGGCGGTAAGTTCCAGGCTTTCACATGCTGAGTATTCTATTGGTGTTTGATATAAAGTTAGTGTTTGAGATAAATGATATGAGAATGGTTATGAAAAAGCACTGTACGTTAGCGCTATGGCTGAAGCTGTTAATGCAGTTATATAAACTAAACTAGAAAAGTATTCCGAGAGCGCAGACCTCCGCCAAGGCAGCGATTTTTTATTATTATTGATTGATTATTGATCCGGATCACCACCAAAAACTAATAATCTCTTCCTTGGCCCACTCCTGACAGTTCCTGAAAATTTCATCAAAATCGGTCCATAACTTTTTGAGTTATGTTGATGACAGACAGACAGACAGAGAGACAAACAAACAGGGGTGAAAACATAACCTCCTTGGCGGAGGTAATTAATTTCTTAATTTCTTAAAGCGTAGCAACATGCACGTCGTAATGTTGTTTTCATAATATATGCTCCAGTATATTACAAAAGGTTCAACTATAAGTGATGTGAAATGAAAATTGTACACAGAAGATCAAGCTAAGACCGGTAATGGCAGCTAAAATTAGTGATCATATGATATGAATTAAAACCATGTAACTTGATTCTGGTATTTAAGCGTTTTAGCTGTTTTGCAGTTTTTTATGTGACCGACAAAAACATGCGTGCAGCTCATTTTTTTTAAAGATTTAATTCTAAAAATGTCCTGTCTTTTAATATGATCCGTTATTATTTAAATATCGTGTTAAATTATTTAACAATTTTCTACCTAGCTCCAAACGGAAGAGAAGGAATTTACTGTGACTGAATACGGTACGTTAATATTATATTAATACTGCATATACAGTATACACCCAAGTAGGTTGCCACATTATACAAGTAAAAATGCTGGTATCAGACTTACGCTGAGTAATATGGTGCGTGTGACGTATTGTCACAAGACAAAGCCTGTCCAGTTGTTTATAACGAGTGAAGAAATAAAGGAGATCCATATTTCAGAAGTGGTTAAATTTAGATCCAATGTCAACAGCCGTTTTATAAGCACATTGATTCAAGAAGTCTAGAATTTAAACGAACGTAAATTGATAAGCTCTAAATAGTTAAACGGATCGTTTATGTTTTACATTAATTGTTGGATGATTCCCACCCAATATGAAATGCATTTACTGACATATTTCCTTTTTTCAGTTGAACCAAAGTTTGATGTTACTATGAACATTCCATCCTACGTAACATTCACAGACACTTTTATCAATGGGAGCGTGGTAGCTAAGTAAGAATCGTGGTTAACTGTTTGCCTACCAGTATACTGTAGATATGTAATTGTTTATTTCAATCGTAGTTTGCATCTAGTTTTGGCATACGTTTCCAAAATACAAACTATGTATTCCTCATGGCCTGATTTTCAACAGAAGAAAATTTTCAATTCACTTGAATCAGATAAATCTTGTTGAAAGTATCACCAACATTATGTGGCACTAGAAATATACAAATCACATGACACTGGAATCATGAAATAGTTTCGTGGTTTTGTTGCGCCTTCGAAATTTGCTCGTTGTTTGACGCGAAGGAACAGCAGCCTGCAAAAGTATATTATCAGAATGGTCCTTTTCAGAAAGGATAGGGGCGTATATATTGCTTTTATGGGTGAGGTGAGCGTATATTTAACGAATTCTGTTAACAATGTAAACAATAACTTCATGTGTTGTTTCAACGAAGCAGTAGCGAAGTGCGATTCTCGTTTGCAGGTACAGTGATGGCAAAGGAGTGGACTGTTCGGGCAACGCAGAACTGCCTTTAACAGATTTCTACCAACTTCATCCTCTGAACTTTGTAAGGATACAGTGCAGTAACTGAAGCCAAGCAGGCTGCTGAATGTGACAATTTACTGTTGGATCTGAGAGTGTGTTAGAGGGGAGGGAATGTTAAAAATGAGTCCAATATTTAGTTTATGAATCTTCTCGTAGGCTCAAAGAGCTCATGATCAAATGTCAAAGTGTCTGAAAGAGCCAAGATGGCAGCCATAGTAATTGTATTTTGAGATAAATTTTCATATATTTAACTGAAAATTTGAAAACGTAAGTTTTACTTGTAATTCTACGTTTTAAAGAAATGTGTGGATGACTGTCCAATATCTATATCTATATCTTTTAGAAAAAAAAACGTTTCTCTTAAGACTTCGTCTCAGCTAGATGATAATGAAAATCGTCTCACGTTCATTCTAGTGTTTTGACCTTGGGTGTAGTTTTAATCAATTCATAAATAAAAATTGTTTCATTTATTTCAACTCAGTTGAGGCGAGAGAGAGAGAGAGAGAGAGAGAGAGAGACGTTCTAAAAATTATTGAGTCTTCATGTAAACTTCTAGTCTGTTTGCTTTACATAATATTAAAGTAATATGATAGGGGTAATAAGTGTGACTAAGTTTAAAGGAGCAATACTTTGACTTAAATTTGTATATTTCTGAAATTTGGCTAAATGGCTTTGACTAAATACCCCCAGCCTTTCGTTTGAGAAAAAGGTATCCTTGAACATTTTCACCAGCTCAGCCTGGTCTGAAAGTATGAAAAAGAATAGATCTGAGCTCCAATGGAGACATGCATAAAATCTTCATCAAATTAAAAATATGAAGAAAATATACTTGAACTATGCGCACTGTTCAACCAAACCCAATATAGAGGTGCAAATGAGGTCACAGGCATGCTCTTAAAATATTTAGTGCACCGATTGCAAACTATGTTTGATTATTTTAGGGTCCCACATGAAGTGTACCAAAGTTTCCCTCTCCTTGAACCATGAATAATAAAGAAATGATTTATCGTCTAGCCACAAAAAAGGAACATACGTAACTGTCAGAAATGCAAAACGTGCAGCTGTGAAACGTTTTCCCCCTTTGAAAATTCAACCATCACTGGTTTTGTTCTTTGATTTATCGCCTACAAGTATAACGTTGTAAAAAATCTAACCTCCTGTATAGAGCAGTTAATTGTTTTTGAGCGGCTTTAGTTTGCTTGTCACTGAATATTAAAAAGACGGGAGAAATACACCCTACCGACATCAAAATAAGCATTAAATAAACTATTTTTCCATTCATGATCCAAATATTATATTAGAAATGTCAAACAATCATGGAATCACAATATACTTTTCGGTCATTAATTATCATTATGATTAAAAATCAGTGATATACAATATAGGCCTTTGCTATAATAGAAACAAATAACAAATCATATTTATACCTTTTCGCGTTTCTTCAGGTTGACGGAAAAGCGAACTTATTTTTTGTCTTGGGTAAAATAGCTGAGCTTGCTGAATATGAAATGGAATATCGAACAGTGCAGGTAAAAGCCCTCGCCGCAGAAACCCTCACAGATCTGTCACAAGTTGTGTGGTCGGAGTTTACGTTCTTCTCTTCGCCATACGCGATGGACATCCTGGGATCCACCCCAAGGGTTTTCAAACCGGGACTTACGTACACCGGCTTTGTAAGTTGAGACTTAGCTCGCACGTGTTTTGAGCATCGGCGCAAAGAACTTAAGTAAATTCTGAAAAAATGTCGATATTAACGAAAATTGGTCTACTATCTTTTTATATATCTGATACGATTTTCTTATTTGTCAGGTACACTATTAAAGCTTTTAATTCTAATTCACAAGTTGCAAAGGTATAAGGTCATGCGCCAAATAAGAAATATACATGTAACTACACTGTACATAAGCTTATATATATATAAAGTGTTATATCACAACAGGTAAAACTCAGCCTAGTAGACGGGACACCAATTGAGGGGGAGGACCACAAACTTCAGGTTGAGGCTCGGGTTACATATGCATTAGAGATACCGGAAAGTGTCAAATTGAATTTTCCGCCTTCCTACTGGGAGCATTTTATCGAGTATAAGACAGTTGAAGAACCCGTTCAGGAACTAAGCGTACCGAATGACGGCATTGTTCGATTTGACTTGGAAGTTAGCCAAGACAGGGCGACCGAAATTACATTTACGGTACTGATTTGAAGTGCGTCCACACATACCAATGGCCCCATTCAGAATAGGGGACTGACTAGTCCGAGGGTCAAATATGGCCGACCCACTTGAATAATTCCTCAGGGGAGTCAGTGTCTGTAATGGGGGTTAGACGGCAAGCTTAGTAGTGGGTTGCCATATTTGACCCTCGGACTAGTTAGTCCCCTATTCTTAATGGGGCCAATTATCCTGTATATTCTTTTCATTTACATTCTTTACAGTGAATTTTGTAAATAGGATACTAAAAAATTACTTTTCCTTCTTTAACTACGCTTACTTATAAATATACTGTTTAAACTAATGATTAAAAGCTTAAATATGTGCAGTTATGGTCAGCTGACAGGTTAGTCCAGATTTAAATTGCTTGATGATGGAGGTACATGTGCTGAAAGAACTACATGTACAGAAACATTTCTTGCCAGGAACCTTGAAGGTGTGATGACACCTTTTCCCTCACACTAGTGTATTAATTGAATATTATGCGAGATGCATATCAACGAATAACAGGTTTATTTTATTTTCTCATTCATGGCAGTTTACCTACGTATCGAAGGTCCGGTACCTGACCGTTTATGGCTTTAGGTCTCCTAGCGACAATTACCTTCAGGTTTTATCGAAGACGCCATTGATACAGGTAAATCAAGTTGAATTCATTTATTTGGTTTCACCATAATGATTTACGAATGCATTTTTATACTACACGTTTGTCACATTCTTATCTTTAAATATGGGCAAATTCTTAATGGGATAACAACTCTTCGCACGAGATCTATATTTCACAGTAAAAACATTGTAAACAACTCATAGAAATATAATATATTCTTTTTTACCACAAAAACGGCAGTTAAAGTAATTATTTTGAAACCTGTGCTTGCCATCGGACCATGTGACCTTCATAGATGACTATACTCTAAAAAAAAAGCACTTTAGAAAAAAACCAGAGACTAACTTTGAATGTAGAAATGGATTCATTAACCATTGGTAAGTATGGGAAAATTGTAGTTTACCTCAGGAAAGTTCATTTTTTGACCAAAATGAACAATTGTTATCCCTTTAACAAACGAACAACACAATGAAAATAAAGTATTTGAAATAGACTAGAACATCAAAATGTTGTTTTCTTAATTAAAGACGGGAAGTAATGCTGAATTTGAAGTCCAGTCGACGGAACAAGTAACCACATTGGTTTATCTGGTAAGAAAGTCATTTTCTGATAATATTCAAACAGCGGGTGAAGGATGACGTATTTAGATGCCGGGCTATGGATGCCCACCTGTGTAAGACTTAAACCAAAACCATCACCTTGCTCATGGCAATATATGTATTTGTGAAGAGAAAGAATTTTAAACATGTGTGTGATGCAATATAGATGTAATACATTTGCCCTTTTATTGGTTGTAAGAATATTCTAATAGGGATACGTTTGAACGTATAAACTAGATTCCAGCTTATCTCTTGCCATTTGAAGACTCTATGCGTGATAATGAATTGAGGTGTTTCTTCAAACCATATGGGGTTCATAACACGGCGTATTTGCCGTTCAGGTTATATTTATTTGAGGTATATTAATCACATTTTGTAACACATTTAATTTGAGAGAGGTACAGTGCAATGACCCCAAAGAATCAAAGCATCTCGTGAAACAGATCCAAAAGATGGATTCACCTACTGCTTACACACTTAGATTCAGAGCTAAAACACTGGAAACTCACCTCCCTATCATGCCTGGGCACCAGAGAGAAGTACGTGCTGATAGTAGAGAGGGGAGTTCCCAGGGAGCTCTGAAGTTTCCACAGAGCTCTAAAACTCAGGGTTTCTGTTTTAATTTCGTTTTAAAACCCTGCAGATCATGGCCGGTGGAAATGTTGTGTCAACGAATAAAGTGTCCCTGAACTCCAACATGACTTTCCAAGTTGCCATTACCCCAAATATGGCACCCAAATCCAAGATGGCCACCTACTATGTACGCAGTGACGGCGAAGTTGTCGCAGACGTTCTCAGTTTCAATGTGAAAGGAGCATTTAAAAACCAGGTAATTTTTCATGAAGATCATCTTTAATCACTATCAGTTTTTAAGATTATTTGAAAACAGTTTCTTTCCACATCATAAATTGAACAATCATGTAATTTTATCGATTAGCAGTGAGTGGTAAGGTCTAAAATAAGTCACCCCATGGATTTTTTCACATAAAATACATGTATCCAATTCAACATTTAATAAATTATTCTTCATAGTAAGCTTTTACTGTCTCCTTTGTCCTGGGTCAATTTTAGGTGTCCGTACAATTTGACGAAACCAGGGCAGAAGCTGGGCAGAAAGTAAGCATGGTGTTGACTGCCGATCCTGGATCGTTCGTGGGGATCTTGGCCGTAGACCAAAGTTTGCTTCCCTTTAGATACCTGCACGACGACTTCACGGAAGAGAAGGTATTCGTCTTTATGAATTTTGTAGTGAATGTCACATAACGTATATTTTCCATACAAGGAAACCTTGTTCCAATTGAAACAAACGTCAAATAAATGAATAAGTAAATGAATGTAATTATATATTAAGGCTCTTTCCTACAATGAATTTCAGAGTAATTTAATTAAAAATGAAATGATACCGCATTCTTCACTTAAGGTTTTAACTGAGCTGGATACATATGATACAAAGAGAGAGACATTCACTGCCAGGAAGAAGCGTTCCATAATGCAGAACATCATTCCGATAGGTGGCACTGATGTCTATGGCATGTTCCAGGTAAAGTACACGTTGTGCCTCTTTTCTATCAAAAATGATATAAAATGGTTTTGTTCGTTGTATCCGAAGCCCAAAAGATGGTCAAACTTGAAAAAGACATCAATAGCTTCAAGTATTTCATGATGAATCGTTTGTGTTAAGTAAACGATTATTTATCATTGTTACCATCGTAGTGGTACAGTTAAAGTGGTTCGTTAAAACGTAAGATACCACGTCGATAAATAATCATCCGACTGTTTCTTCATTTTCATACTCCAAACAACGTAAACATACTATCATGTATATGATGAGTATTATTTTGATCAGAATTTTGATGAGTATACTTGGCAAATGTTAAAAAACAATTATTCTGGTAAACTGGTAAAACTGCAACAATCTCACTTGTTTTGTTTTTAAAGAGGATTTTATATAAACAATCTAAAAAAAAAAACAATTTTAAAATTTCAGAACTTTGGGGTAATTGTATTTACCGATACTATGGTCCACAGATACACAAACACAACGGCACGTAAGTTTATTCATTTCTTTTCCAAATGTGAAAAAAGTTTATTTAAACAATTGATGGAGAACATAGAATGGTCGAAGAAATGAAACAATATCCCCTTATTAGTTTGGTTCAAGTTCTGTTGCATAGCTCAAGCAATGTTTCAACGTTTAAAATGTACGTGTACCACAGTTATTCGTGGAAATCCCCATATAATTACACGCTGTTTTAATCGAACAATTAAGCCAATATAAACTTCAATCAAAGGTAGACAAGTCGATTATATACCGTTATGGCAAGGTGGGAAGTAAATTTACTGTGTAATATGTGTTCTTTTTCTTTGTAATATATGTTCACATTAAGCATGTGAAAAAAATTGTAGCGACTCATTTGGGTGTGAACCTCCTCGTAGTTTCCAAAATATAACAAGACCTAGTCATGGCTTAACTATGTATCTTATCATGTGTTTTTTTTTGTTGTTGTTGTTAGCGGAGGCAGAAAGTATTTCTGTCGTTGGTAGTTTGGCGGACATAAAACCAATGCAGTCCTATTTTAGAGAAACTTGGCTTTGGACCAGTGTAACCTTAGGGTAGGGTATTTGTTGGTAATACCATTTATCTGTTTGCATTTAAAAAGTTTCTTAGATCCTAAATTAAATTTACCATATAAAACTTCATACCATAAGTTGGATGTAAATGGGCAGTGGAGCATTCTGAAACACAGTGCTTTGTCTTCTTTCTCAGTTTTTCACTCTTAGACTTGTTAATTTTCGCCGATAACAAGTGACTTTGAATTACCTTAACTGCTTAATTTTATCTTGTTAATTCTCCAGTGCAACAGGCACGAATTCACTTAATGTCATAGCGCCAGGTGATACTTCGTCATGGACAGCCAATGTGTTTGCCGTCCATTCAGAATCCGGCCTGGGAGTGGCAATGGCAGAGGTGATCCAAACATTACTTTTTTTTGGCATAGCTATCGTCGCCAATTATTGTGATTTATATATTAGTAATGGTGCTAGAAGATTAAAGATTCCATAAATAAATTATGCGAAAATAGCAAATATTTTGCTAGCATTTAGCATTACATGTGCAAGCGAATGGATTAAAGATTACGAAATATCATAATGTGGTTTGAGTTTTACGTGTGGTTCTTGTTCGCTAAATGTATTCGATACCCATACAGTACAGAATATGTCGTGTATATTATTATTATTAGTAACCATACCTTGACCCGCGCGAAATGTGCCGATGCATATGTACATATGTTGCGTCAAGATTATATGGTATGCTTGTCATATAGGCGCATTTAAGGATATATATATATATATATATATATATATATATATATATATATATATATATATATATATAGTCATTGGTTAATGAATGAAAGAATGTTATTTGGTTTATTGCAGTTGTCGACATTCCGTAGGTTTCTGTTAGCAGTGTACATGCCAGATTCAGCCGTGCTTGGAGAGAAGTTGATCCTTCGAGTGGCAGTTTGGAACGATATGGGAATCGACTTGGACGTAATAATTAAGACAACATGTTCAGCTTCATTAATCACCTATACATCACAAAAATAAAAGCAAAGAGTCTAAAGTTTACACCTAATTACTGCTTTTAATTAAAGTGCATTGCTGATTGGAACCTCAGTTACAGGTAATGAAGCCAGAGATATCAAGAAAACATTTGATTGAATAAATGAAAATAAAGTGAAAGAAGGGGAAGCAGTGCATTGAGATTTAAAATGTTATCTATTGAAATATTGATAGAATTTGTAAGCAAGTCTGCGAGTTATAAAAAAGAATTCTCACAAAACGAAATTACCATTGATTTTAAGGTTGACGTAATACTGGAAAAGTCTGACGGGTTCAAGAGCATAGTATTGGGCACGGATGGAAAGCCAACAACTGTTTCTGAAGCACAAACGCAGCAAGCCAGTGTACGTGAAGCCTGAATATCGACGTAGTCCAAGATTTGATTCTTAAACTCCCTTTAAATATGTACTTTCTATATAACCTTCTCTCTTGTGTATGGGATGTACGATCCCGAATACCTTTCCATAAATGTCTCCACAAAAGTCTACATATGAACTGTTAAACTTCAGAACGCCTTTTTTTTTATTAAAGTGTATAATTTTTTTAAACATTTCCGAGGTTAACTTGAATGTCTTTTGTGATCTTGTGTGATAATAATGTTCTGCTACATGTTTGAGTAATTGGATATATATATATATATATATATATATATATATATATATATATATATATATATATATATATATATATATATATATACTTACATGTATATAATTATAGGTCAAAGACGGAAAGGGTGTCTTCGTATATTTCCCTATTATTCCAACTGCTCTGGGCAAATTTGATGTCTTTATAAAAGCGAACTCGGAGGCTGGTATTGATGGCTTGAAGAAGCAGTTGCTTGTCGAGGTATAGTTGGGCATGATCTTCGATGATATCAGTTTGTTAGGGGTAAATTATACAACATACAACATTTACACAACATACCATGCTTCATGTTCACAGTTGTGCAATGTTCATTTAGATATTTAATACCTTCTTTATCGGTACTCACGTCATCACGTTATCTACACATTGCTTTTATAAAAAAGCATATTGATGAAATACACAAAGCATGGATAAGCGGAACATAATTGTCTCATGTGCAAATAATTTTTGACTTCAGTCGACATCTTTGTTGCGCCGTGAGACTTTTCTTAACTTACCTTGTCTGACCTTCCCTTGTCTTCTGTTACCGACATTGTCGTCGGCAAATTTTTTTGTTTGTTTGCCTTGTGCTTTACTTTGTGTTGTCTCGTCTTGTCTTGAGTGGCGCCCTCTTATGTGTAGTTGATGTTGGTGTTTAGTTGAATGGAAAACGTCACCATTTATAGTCGTAGTTTGGACACGCCCGTTATTGTACAGTAAGCAATGCGTTAGAGGCAACGTTGTTATATACGTACTTTTTAGTTATTTAATGTATGTGTTTCATTGTCAATTATTCATTATACTATTTGTATTAAGTTGAAATGTTGATACTTATGTTTATTCTTTTACAGTACTTTTATTTGTTTCACTTATAATTTCAGTTCACCGTCGTCATCTAGTTTCTAGACACGCGTGTAAATAAATATATTCCTCCATTGGATATTTATGTTGTCATGCCCTACATCTTCTAAGTTTTGTTTAAACAAGGCCGAGGGAGTCCGTCAAGAATACAATCAAGCTGTGGTGATCGACCTGACTAGCACGTCAACATATAGTAAAACGTTCCAAATTGATATTCCATCCACCTCCGTGCAGAGTTCCTCCTACATCGCTGCTACACTCACAGGTGTGTAATTAAATAAAAGACAAAAAGGATGCAAAAAGGATGCAATTCGCAATTGGAATGTTAAGTGTTATTTTTTTGGCCTTATGGAAAATATTTGAATTTGCTCGGATGAAAATATAAAGCGAGGGTGTGTTATGTTTTATGATTGCAATTATCAGAATGAGTGATAATAATAATATGCATTTAGACCCAAAATTTACTTGCAATTCTCGTTAAGCATAAAATGTTTAAGAAAATTTACCTACTGGCCATGTTTACAGAGAATCTCATATTTTTTCTGCTCTTATGTATGCATTTATATTTTACAGATGATATAATGGGACCCACTATAAAAAACATTGACGGCTTATTGAATATACCGCTTGGTTGTGCTGAACAAAACTTGATGCACATTGCTACTCCAGTCTTCTTATTAAACTATTTCGCTGAAACGGACCAGTTCGACAGCGAAGTCATGGAAAAAGCCATTGCCTACTTGGAAAAAGGTACTGCATCCCAAACCAAGCATGTATATATACGGTTGTTGTTTTGTCATTTATTAGTAACTAAAACCTTTGCCCAACTGATAAATTCTTAAGTCGCTTGTGAGAGGATATACCCCTTTTTGTACATGGATTTACTATGAAAGTTGGTGGTTTTCAAATATATGAGTACATATGTTCCAAATGACATGTCTTTACCAAAAATGCTGCCTGACTTTTCTTGAATTATATCACTGATATCACTGCTGTGATTGAAAAACAAAACGCTGTGGAATGTCAAAGATTTCATCTGCTCTCTCTTAAATTAGTTAGTACCTTTAAAGGTACATACGAACCGAGCATCGGTGGAGCGTGGATTCACATGTAAACCACTTCTACTAGATTCTTATATGACTCAAATAAATTCGACATGCCAAGGGATAAACTGAATAGATCACTCGATCTGCCAAAAAAGACCTTTAGACTGCTCCTTTCTTTGAATTTTTGGTTGTAAATTTAACCTACTTCCGTGACCTACTTTCCTGCCCCATTGACATACAGCTTAGAATGCCAGCAGAAAAATCTGTTCAAACATCATTTTCGGGTAAAATTAAAAAATGCCTTTTGGTAATTCTCTTAGTTATACTACTTGAAACTATATGCTGGCATTTGGTTGGTTTTTGTGACAAAATTGACTTTGTATGCATCCTTAATGTGTTTGTTGTAACTTATGACATTGCTCGTTCAACGACACGCTTGTGGCAATGATTGGCTCTCCTGCTTTTTCTACAATACACATGCAATGAAAAATCTGCACTTGAGGCTTGACACTTGGCAATACATCATTTGACAGAAACATAATTTAAATATGAATAGTTCTGTATGCCTCATATAATATCTGCCTTTTAAATTTAAAGTAAAGTTTAACACTAATGAGCCGGCTGAAGATTACATAACAAGTGTTTACAGGCTTAATGAGAGTATATATTAACCAGCGCAATATTTCAGTGCAACCTGGGCAACTTTTATAGATTGCCGGGTTAAACGAAACTGGAGAAACCCTAAAAAAAACTAAACTTAATCGAATTTTGTTGCAGGATACCAAAATGTACTTGTCTACCAGCACGCGGACGGTTCATTTAGTTCATTTGGAGAAAGTGACACCTCCGGAAGCATGTGGTTAGTCAAATTGTGGTTCACGTGTTCCACTATGTCTCAATATATTCCCTCCCCTGCATAATACAAGTTTATTTATTATGCACGTTCTGTTGTATCTACAGGGTATGATTGCCTGCGTATATGTGCACGTTTGCGCCTACGTGTGTTCATCTCATGCAAACACATAGTTTGGATAGTATACTGCAGTTGATATTTGACATCAGGAGTAGCTTTATTACTACAAAAGTGCCAATGGGAATAAGTGGAACAAGTGAAACTTTTAATGATTTGTAACGGAATTTTGTAATTTTTTGTAATTTTTCTCATGCTTTAGTGTGATAAAAGTAGTGAGACGGTATTGACAATATTTTGTATGATTCCTTTGTATGCCTAATTAAAAAAAAAATAGACGATTTTCAACACGACCATTTCAGGGCTACTGCGTTCGTAACAAAGTCCTTGAAACAAGCAGGTGACCATATCGAGATCGATGATGAGGTTGTCACTAAGGCCATCAACTGGATAATTGGCCAGCAGAACGCAGATGGCTCTTTTCCTGAGCCTGGGAGTGTGGTCCATAGGGCAATGCAGGCACTTAATATTGCAATTGTTAATATAAACAGAAGTAAAGATTCAATTTGAAGTAAAAGTAAAGACGGACAGCGTTTTTGGAATTGATTGTTTTGGGCCCTTTGTAGACTTGGCACTATAGTGTATTTTGCCAAAGTTTTATTGACCATGGGTCACTATCTCAAATTCGTTGAGCTCTTGGAAATGAACATAGAAATAGTCCAAGAACGTCAAATGAATTTTTGAATATTTAAGTATTTTTTATCTTATTCCAATAAGGTAAATATGTTTTTTAAAATTCTATTGATGGTTTTGAATATGTATTTTAATTTATTGCCCCCTTTTTTTTCAAAACTAGTTATATATATTTGTTGCAGACTGGTTCGTCATCGGATGTATCCCTGACTGCCTTTGTGGTTATTACTCTACTGGAAAATAAGGATATGGTAAGCACCTTTTTTATTTATTGAAAAAGTATTATTTTAATATATCAGATGCAATGTTTTATCCGCTGGATATTAATTTACATATTATCTTCATGTTTTATAAAGATTTCTACTGGTGATATTCTTTCAAATGCAAGTGCAGACCAAACTGACTTGAAAATTTTTGTAGGAAGTATTCACAAAAGAAGAACATTAAGATGCATCAGTTTTTTAAAAATTAGAACCAGCGATGAAATAATAAGAAACTGGAACAAACTTAATCTATAGGAACAAACTAAATCTACCTGTATAGGCAACTTTAGCTGATATGACCATTTTAACAACTAATGCGTTTCTTGCCATTTCAGTCTACCAATGATAATGTACGGAACGCCGCAGAGAGTGCTGTCCATTACTTGGAGAACCGTACTGCGTCCGTATCCAACCCTTACAGTCTGGCCATTTCATCGTATGCCCTGCAAAAAGCCAAAAGTTACGAAGCGGTTGCAGCTTTCAACCGTCTGAAAACTTTGATACCGAATTTACTCAAAGGTAAGTTTACCTCATTATTTTTATAACTGTCAAAATACAATCAAGTCAGCTTGATATGAAGTGATTCGTTATGAATTCACGAGTTTTGAAGGTTTTTGATTTACCTATCGGCATCCAAAGACATTGACAGTTTACTTTCAACCAAAGACAAATTTCGAGAGCGTAAGATACATGTTACTTTTTTTTTTTCAAGGTGCTTCCGAGCCAGAGGGTGGATATCGCAACACATATGAGATGCAGGCCAGTGCTATCAATGTCGAGATAATTTCTTACGCTCTCCTTGCGTATGCTGAGAAGTCGGACACGCAAGGAGGAATGCCTCTGATGAAATGGCTGATTTCCCAACGTAATACCTACGGAAGGTTCTCTTCAACTCTGGTAAGTTACCTTATTCATCCAACAGAAAACAGACGGACAGCTCGCTTTGACAAAGGTAATTTATCCGATTTTCACCTTAGGTCATACGGGGGTCTCTCCTCAATAGGCCAGCTTTTTTTTCCAATGGCAGGCGCAAGGGGAACTTTCGTCAACTAATATAAGTCAACAGTTGTTCCAGTGTTGGGCATCCGGGGATCTCTCCATAGTCAAAGCCAGTTGTGCAATTCATCAACTTAGGGGATACGCGGCTTTCTGCAACAAAACTTAGATATTTCCTTTTTTATTTTCATCTGTTTTACTGTTTCTTATTGTCTTGCAGGCCACGGTGGTGGCTCTACAGGCGCTGTCTGTGTTTACTGTTGATATCTATGCGGCATCAAGCCCGGACATGCAGGTCACCATTGGCGTCGAGGGAAGTTCCAATCAAGTGACCCTTAGGGGGGGTAATACCATTATCCTACGGGTGTGTAATCATTATTAAGCAAAGGTCTTTGTGTCTGGTTTCCTTTTTATAGTCCCTTTACTCTTTTTCATTTGCCTAACATATAAATAGATATATTATGATTTTTTTAAAGTTATATTTAAGGTACAAACGTGATACCTTTGGTAGTTTACTGTTGCGCATTGATCTCTCTCTCCCTCCCTCTCTCCCTCCCTCTCTCTCTCTCTCACGCACAAACACTGACTTTGTGTCATAGGTGTAATTCCGTACTGGTGTTACTTTTAAAGCTCCCAGATGCTACCAAACAAGTGACAGTTTCGGCAACTGGCAGTGGAAGGGCGCTTTTCCAGGTGAGATACCTTGACAGGATATTTGATTAACTTAACTCAATACGGCAACACATTGAAAAATAATATGGTCAATTTTTGTAAGTGAGTAGTTCATAATGCATTATTTTTTTCTGAAATATCCAACGATACCCCAGTTTATCTTTTAGGTGTCCGTGTCATACAACATAAAAACAATGGAGCAAGAACCATCGTTTGCTGTCGAAGCGACACAGGTGGAGCATGCATTTGGGAACTTAGTGAAGGTCCAGATTTGCTCGAAGTACGTAACCCACAGAAGAAGAAAAAAAAAGCCCCTGTCCATGGAACACGATAATTAAAATGTGCATTGCGTCTCAAAGAGAGATATCCCCAGTAGGGTTTATTGTTAATTTAGAGTGTACAACAGCATTTTGTTTATTTATAAGGAGGACGAATGACGGAAAACAGTGTTGGCTTTATTTAACAGTCTTTCCGATTTTACGTCTGTAAAGCTTAATCCAATGTCTTTCTACTTTTTGTTAAACAAGTCCCAGGAGATTGAAATTAAACGACAATCATGCTGCCCAGCTTTTTAAAAACCACTGACGATTGTGCTTGAAGCTCACCTAACACACTCACTGTATATTTTTATTCAGGTGGTTGGAGAACAGCCCAGCAAGCGGCATGGCGGTGCTAGAGATCGGAATACCTAGTGGATTCGAGGCTGATCTGGAGAGCATTTCACAGCTTCCGTCCCTGAAGAAGACGGAGAAAGCGTACAGAAAAATTGTGCTTTATTTTGATGAGGTACGAATTTTACCAGAACGCCAGTGACTCCACAAGAATTAATGAATTTATCCTTGATTCACATGACACCAAAGTGCGGATTGGTGGCGGGAAATTAGCTTCCGGTTTTAGGCATTTTTATTTATCACCTTATAGATCTTGTAATCAAACACAGGTTTATGAATTTAGACATAATTTTGACAGCTTTTTAGGTATGAAGTACAGTCTAAACTGGTAAATAAAGGCTAAGTCAAACTTATTAGAAATAGTTTTTTTTCAATGTGATCATCTTTGAAGATGTAACGGTTGCTGTGGGCCTTTAATAATATATTGCTTTTCAATTTTGTCTTCCAGGTCAGTGCTACAAAAACCTGCATCACATTTAATGTGCAGCGTGTCACACTGGTAGCTGAATCCAAACAACTAGCTGTTAGGCTCTATGATTACTTCTCCCCAGGTATTTTTTTTGTCGCTGTCATTGCATAAGTTTTAATTACTCATTTATTATATCATCTTTATTTAGTTCAAAATATTTAAATGCATAATAAATGCATATCCACTTCTCTTCTTTTAAATGAAATTATTTAGATAAATTTTAACATGCTTGCAACATTTAGACTTAAAGGAATCAAAACTTACCTGTCTCTATTCATTTGATCGTTTACAGAAAAGCAAGTGACCGCTTTCTATGGGTTATATATTTTGCAAATCACTACGGTCTGCGACATCTGTCGGGAAAGGTGCTCACTGTGCTGGAAGGTAAGAACAGCTCAACCACTGATTTTTATCCTTGCTGATGGTAGCTTTACTCTTTTCTCAGTTCCTGATGGACGGATTCATACTCATTGTGACAGTGGTGATTGTGAAGATAAAAAAGCGCCTCTTTGCAACCCCACAAACGAAATTTGTTCAAAATTGTTTGTAAATAAAACTTTTGCTGACTCATCACATCATAATTTTTAGGATGATGAGTCTTATTGAATATTTGATATATTTTTTTTATATACGGTTATAACATTTAATACAGGCAACAATTTGCTAAATTGTTATCATTGTAAAAATGATTAGGATAGTGGGGTTATATAATAAAAGCGGCCTTGTTTGGCCAAATCACGAACGATCAATATTCCTTGTTGCCTTCTTTCTTGTTATGAATGGGACTTTGAAAGTTTGTTGGTAAACTGGAATGGAGGAGACATAAAAATATTATGACACTTAATAGAAAACCGTCTGGAATGTTGCTGTATGTGATGTCTCTAGAGTCAGACACACATAATTTACATTATTTTCATTTTATTTTTTATTTTGGGTAATTTTTCTTTTGAATGAGTTTTTTTCCTAATGGATGTCATTGCTTAAATTGGTTTATGTAAGTATGAGACGTACTTGCTCTGTGACTTTTTAAGAAATAACTTGTTATCATAATCATTATTAGTCATGTTATTAATATCATCACACTCACATATATTATCATTTTATTTACATTTCAAAACTCTTTATGAATGGAAAAGGACGCACTTGACCATGTTTCCCGACTTCTGTGACACATTATTAAACTGGTATGGCTTAATATCTCATTCCAGGACTGATATATTGGGAGCAATACGAAGAGGCTTGAAGTAATATTAATACATGCGGTTAATCAACTGAAGAATTGCTATTATCCAGTATTTGAAATATTTTTTGGGACATACGAAACGGATCATGAGGGATTTGGACTCACATAAAGAGAGTTAGATAAATGCATATAATTAAGAAAAAATAAGACAGTTAAATCAAAATGTAAGATCGGCGCATGGGTAATAAACATATTTGCAATTCCAGTGGCGTTTACTTTGATGGCTTTTGGTGACTTTATTTTTTTATTTTATTTTTATTTATTTATTTATTTATTCTTTGCAATCCATACTTTCTCATTGCATAATTCATTTATCATAAGCCCATTCAACATTATAACAATTTGGTTGGAGTTTTGAAACAATAGATGCAAAGAAAGAAACAAGGCAGGAAAGCTGTCAAATGTACAGACAAAAAGCAGAAAAAAGATGCAGAAAAAATGTTATTTTGTCAATTTTAATGCAATTATAAATTATATTTACAGGTAGATATAATAAGCGTTTCACTCACTACCGCCGTCTGAAAGAAGTCTTTGCTGCTGTATGTGGTTATATAAAGTGTGATAGCATACAAAGTGCTACCAGTATGAGAAGGCTTTTACGTATATTTGAACACTAGAGAGAAAGGCCTTTCTTAAAATAACTGTGAAGATTTCTTTCCTTTTTGGTACCTATGGCTGAAAATCAGACATCTGGCTCATCGGCTACTCCATGAGCCAATCACTTTTCGGTACCAAAGAGGTCATTTATTTGAGGATTTTTCTTGATTAAAAACCAAAGTTTTTTCGTAAAATCAATGCTTAAGTAAGAATATGGTATTTGGTGAATTATTTGTAAATATGGTATATGCTTATTTAGAGCCTCAGCTTTAGAAAATCATTTAAAAATGTGAACCTTATGGCCAAAATATGCCCCCTTTAAAAGTGGGGGTGGGGGGAGAAAATGCTTATTTTTTCAATGTGGTTAAATATATATCAATGCGTTACATATCCTTTACCCTTGGATGCAGGCTATGTAACAATAGCTTTCTATCTTACTTCTTACAAATTGAATGTGAGTAAAAATTAACCCTCTGACTCCTTATAACAGAAAGTTCTCACTTCCATTTTGAAGTGAAGCCATACATGTATAATATGCAAATGAAATAATTAAAGAAAGGGCCTCAGACTCAATGACCTAGTCTTTAATAGTCACACAACATCTAGTTATAGCCCAAAAATATTTCTATAATTATAACCGATGATGTTCTCATTTAATGGTGTTTAAGTTCATATTTATGAAAAAACTTAAATTTTGGCTGAATGTTTGCCTCATCTGACCTTTTGACCTATTTCTAATGGAGCATGTCTCTGTTTACTTGTGACTTAATCAAAGAATTTGTCCTTTCCCATAACTGAATTAATATGTGCATTTTGTTGCTATATCTTTTTTATCTTTAACATCTTTTTCTCTTTTTCTTCCATACCCCCAATTTAAAGAGGGCCTACATGTATTTTGACTGTTAGGTTCACACTTAACTACAGTAGTTACAAATTTTTTTAAAAATAAAACAGTTTCAAATTTTGGTTCAAATTTTGTTCATAAGTATGAAACTATACTATGTTTAAAAATGCCAATTTTATTCACAAACAAGTGTAAGGTTTTGGTTTTAATTTATAAAAACCTCATAAAATATGACCTCTTTTGAGCTTTGACCCATTACAAATGACCCTTGAGTTATTGTCATGCATTAATGATTTACGAAATTTTAAAATTGTCCCATCCCTTACCTCCATAAGGATATCAAATGCATTGATACATATCTTTTACCATATTGATGAAGCAAGCATTTTCTCTCCCCTTCCCCCTTTGAAGGGGACATATTATGACAGTAAGGTTCACATTTAACTCTAGTTACATAATTTTCTAAAATAAAGCAGTTGAGACTCCAAAAGTTTTGTTCATTAGTGTGAAAAAATGCCCTGCTTACAAATCATTTGCAAAATGCCAATTTCTTTTTTAAACAATATTTCTAAGATTTTTATTTTTAATTTATGAAGATCCATAACATATAACCTCTTGTGACCTTTGACCCATTATCAATGACCCTTGACTTAATGTCATGCATAAATGATATATGATGATATATGAAATCAATTGTCCCAACCCTCACCTCCATTTAAAATATATACTGTATTGATATATCTTAAACCATATTGATGAAATAAGCATTTTCTCTTCCCTTCCCCCACTACTCAAATGTTGTTAATAAGAATAAGACTATACCGTGTATACAAATCAATAATACCATATTTTTATTTAAACGCTGATTTTCTTGAATAGGTGAGGGTACCACAATACACTAAGGGATGTGTAATACAACTGAAATATAGAAATTTATCTTTGAAACCTTTCAATTTGGCAGACTCTTATCCCCGATTGTGACAAAATATGTTCAATGATGCTGAGTTTAAAATGCCAGTGGATAGAAAAAAATGCTAATTAGGCCAGACAAAATTGATAAGTTGGTTAACAGCGCCTCTCTGTAGGCGAACATTTGGTATTGGTTTTTGTTAATTTTATTTATTTTTTAACGTATAGTGTTGAACGAGCTTAGCAGATACATTATAATGTTTTTCCTTTTTTTCAGTTCAGGGTTATACAATGTTAAATCCACGTTTTTTGTGCCAGTAGTGAATCTGACACACTTACCAACCCAAATTAACTGTAGCTTTTTTCCCATTTGAACAAAAGGAGCTATGTTAAATATCGTTTTTTTTTCAATTCAAAATTAGGACCGATTGTGCTCGTGAACCAACTTATCAATTTTGTCTGGTCTAGCCAGCAACTGGAGAGGGCACCAGCATAAATTCATATTCTTCTGTAACAATATTTATATGAAATATTGTCATATGTTCCGCTCACCCTATTTCTATTTTTTTTGTTTGTGTCAAGCAAACAACCTTTATGTATGCAGGTGGAAAACATAATGTGCCTGTTCCCGTTGTGCATATGTGTTAATAGAATTTAAAACCATAAAATCTGAGGAAGGGGGCTAGGTAAAATAGAGGGATATACTGCAGAAATTTTCTTCTCTTTTAGGTTATTATTAAGGTGTGCCGCGTCATCTAATGGTTTTCAAAGGGTCTGATTGTTTTCTATCAAAATTGATTCGTCTCATATCACTTACATTTGCAGTGATTACATCAATTATAAGCAATCCCCTTTACACTATCAGGATCACGCCACGTGCTAGGCCTTATGATAGACACCCGCATCGCTTTGATCACATTGCAAAGGCTTTGATTTCACCCTTATTTTAATAAATTAGAATTTTCCATCCATATAATATCGCATCATACGACTACGCTCTCAGGCAAGAACAACCATTCGGTAGGTCTCTGTTACATATCTTTTACGTTTAAAAATAATTTGTCAAGGCGCTTTGAATTATTGGGATATCTTGTTTTTACGTTCGCAACAAGAATGTGGTATAAACCTACACGTACCTCAGTGGAAGACCTTAGGCAATTACATGGAGTTACTGATACTGTAGTAACATTGTGGAGTTGGATCTCTTCTCTCTGTCTCTCTTTCTCTGGAAGGCATCTATTTCGAAACAGTGGCATCAAAAAGCAAAAAGATAATGAGGTATACAATTCATCCTTTTGAACTTTTTAAACCCTTTTCTAGCATCAGTATTTTATTCACGTTTTCTGGAAGTATGAAGTGTGTAAAATCTGATTGCATGCAACGAGAGTCAGTGTGCACTAGATATATGGCGACCTCACTCATTCTAGACGCCCCCCCCGTACATGCAATGGCGTATGGCATTTCTTGTTATTATTATAATTGCAGTTCGACGTAACTTATTTTCATTCAGCGTACTGGTACGAATTTCAGACAAGACATAGTCAAAGAGATGAACCGTACAAGCGATTAAGTGAAGGATTTGAATTTTCTTAAGTGAAACTGGATACCTTTACGGTCATATAGGTCGAACTGCATGGTTAATACTTAAAGCAATAATAACTCTTCCTTTGAGATTCAAAATTCCGCAAGAAATACATTCTAAACAACACACGGAAATATATTATATTGCATTTCACCACTAAAACGGCTGTTATTGTAGTAAAACTAAAAACTGTGCTTGTCAATAGGGCTTTCGGTGCCTTTTTCCCGGTCATCAAGGCATTCGTTGCCAAGGATTTTGGCGCATCACGCGGATTCTCGCGTGCAGTCGAGACCTAAATAACACAGGCGCATGACACAATCCTCCTACGTAAGTTGCGAGTTTTTGTACAGTGTGTCGGATAACGAAAAGCACAGAACTGCACACGTTGTGATTATGAGCAATTAAGACGATTATATCGTATGAATCTTATTTTATTGCAATAAAGTGTTGTTGTTGTCTGCTTTTCCCGCGGTTTTAAGTAGGTCATCAGAAAACCCCGCTCGTTAGAGAGGGCTCCGTCAGTTAAAATCACTTAAGAGATTTTAACAAAAAACCGTACGTTTAGGAAAAAAAACCCTGGATTAACTTTGAATGCAGGAATGGGGTCGCTGACCATTGGTGAGTACGGGAAAATTGCCGTTTACTCCAGGAAAATCCAATTTTTTGTCAAAACGAAGAGTTATTATGACTTTAATATGGAATATTTTTTATCATTGTTATTTTTGAGTGCAGATTAATTTTTTTTTGTTATTATTCATAAAAAAGTTTGTAATTGAGTGATAAAAATATCCAGTATTCAATAATGAGACATTTTGGTCAAAAATATCAAATCTGACATAAGTTGTCATTCAAAAGAAAAGAACACCCCCAGAAAACCATATCAAGAGTTTGATGTCAGTATTAGAACTCGTTACAGTAAATCATGAAAAGTAATGAATAGCGGGTACGACCTCCAGCAGCCGCTTGCAGCGCCCTCACCCTACATGGCATACCCTGTGACCATAGCTGTTAATGCTGCTAGTTACTTCCGCCCACAGATTTTCAATTGGGTTCATATCTGGGGAGTTTACAGGTCAGGGCAGTTGCTGAATCCCTTGGTTTTGAAGAAAAGCAGTGTTTCTGCGAGCTCGATTTTGTCTTGATACACAAAATTGTTCCTGAACATGTCTCTAACAAATGGAAGTTTTGTTTGCTGTAGAACCCTGGTTGAGGTTGCCTTCTAGAAAACCCAACTGGTTCTGGGCAATGGCATGAAATGCTCACAAAACAGAGACGCCACTACCCCCTGCTTGCACCCCAGACAGTACACGATCATCGTTATATGCCTCTCGCACACGCTGGCAGACACGGATTCGACAGTCAACCCTAAAAATCCATCTCTGGACTTATCACTGAAAACGACGTGATTCAAGTGGTTTGGCCGCAAACGCACGTGGTCCCCAGCCCATTGCAGACGTCGCTGTGCATGACCTGCTGTTAACAGTGGTTTCCGTACTGGTCTTCGTGTAAAATAACCGACTTGCAGTAATCTCTTTTTCGTGACGGACACTGAAACGGGCGTTTGAATAACATTCTGCAACTCTCTTCTGAGGGCACTGGTTGGCTTTGTACGGCAAGCACGGCACAGTGTAAGGAGAAGACTAACCTGTCTTCTTGTTGTGATTCGAGGACACCCTGGTCGAGGTCTTGGATTAGGTGCGCCTGTTGTAGCATTGACAAACGGTTCCCTGACAATTGTTGAATTGCTTGGCAATGGCTGCCGGTTTATGGCCATTTTCTCTAAGAGCAAAAATATCATGCGTTGCTTAGCTGTCGAACTAAGCAAAGGTACCTGGAAGTTTCAGGGCGATCCCTTTGTTGCTTCTTGAAATACACTCCAAAGATTGGCCAAACCCATGCGTTTTTACAGGTATACAAGGACAGAAATTGCCGAAAATACCACCCCTCACATTTCTGACCACAGAACGTGCAACTGCATGCATCAATTGTTTCGAGAGTTGTGTTATAATTAGGTAACACACCTGGCTACACATGGGGTGACACCTAAGTTTCGGATTTAAAATAGCGAGAGAGAAAATAAATATTTTGTAGAAAATTTACTCGATAATTTAAATAATATTCCATATTAAGCATGAACGAACCCTGCATATTGTCTGACATGATCGTAGATAGTAAGTTGAGACACACCAGATATTTACTTGATATAAAATATTTTAATTAAATTATTTAGTATTCTATTTCTGATTCCTATGGGTCTGATTCTCTTTTAGAAGCATATCATTCATGTTTTACCGATGGATAGATGCCATGGATTTGTATTTCAAACAGGTATAATAAATCTCAATAAATCTTACTATTATCATAATGAACCCTTAACTGTTATCCCGTAAAACATATTATAGGTGTATAATTATCCTTTATACAACACTATTTTAAACGTTTTTTATTTAACCGGTGTCAGATAATTAAACCACGGGTTAGGCTTATTCACTGGTTAGTGTTAAATGCCCTTTATGAAGCTGGCCGGCTATTGTCTTTTTTAAGAGACTAAGAAAATCGATTTGACGCGAAAATTCCGGGTAGTTTACCTTTCATCAACTGCCCTTGCTCTGTACGCTTTTTCTACATGTAATAAAATTAGCCCACGCTTACACATGTATCAACAGCTCACCTTCCACGGAAACGAGGCAATTAGTCCAGTCATTTTACACCACAAATGAAAGGGTGCGGTCTCTAGTAAGATGATTTCATTCATATTTGAAAAGAAATCCAATCAGTTATCAACATGCAATGTTTAAAGAGCAAAAAATAACTATACGATGTATCATTTGTCTAGAAGAAGGAATTTAAATTATTATAAAATATATAACAGTGGTTTTGTATGACTGTTAAAGACAACTGTAAATAATAAAACGTAAATAAATGAGTAAATAAGGATGATATTTTCTCCTTGAACATTGATTTTATTCCCCACTCGTATCTAATGGCATGTGCAAACTACTCATACAACAAAACATGTACTTCAGGGGTGGTAAAGTGACCGATTTCAGCTGATCCAGCTATCGCACTTTTCTGCCTTTGTTGAGGTAATATGTATGCATAGGTATAGCCTGATGTCGGCAGATACTGTGAACGTTTCTAACGTGACTCTAAAAGCTGTGTTTCCATACATATATTTTCTGTTTTAGCCAAAATGCTGCGTATCATACTGTGCATAGCTCTGTGCATGACTCTGGCGATTGCCTACAACAAGTAAGTGGACCTAATTGTTCTTATTCTTTATGAAAATAGATGTTTTGCACTAGTATGCCGCCAAACCCTAGAATTTGTTTCCAATGAACTATGTTTTCTTGCTTCGGGGCCTCCATGGGTCACTGGGGTAATTTTATCATGGTTGCAACAACCATGATTAAGGTATTGTTATGAATCTATATTAGCAGCAAAATCTCGCTCTAATTCCAGGTCGTATGTGATAATCTTTCCGAATGCTATTCGCCCGGGACTTCCATTAAAACTGGGTGTGAACATCCTCAGGGCCAGTGCACCTGTAAATGTCACGTGCACTATGGCCAAAAACAACGTATTTCTCACGTCACAGAGTGGAAATTTTGAAGCAGGTATTATTACAGAAAGTGTAAACGTTGTTGTCTTTAAAGATTATAATTGTACCTTTTTATTAGCCATAGGAAGCCAAATCAATCATAAATTAGCCATACGCACTTGCAGAGCTAAGACTGTGATGGGAGCTGTTAGCATTTTGAGAAAATCGATTTTCGATGCAGCGTTCGTCATTGCAGTATGCAAGTAAAGACGTGTCCCCTTTGATATAGTGATCTTAATTCGTTATTCAACTTTCACTTTTTGTTTTGAATTTTCTTGCATGAATTTGGCACTCCTGCAACTCCATCAATGTTTACTTTCAGGAGAGCCAGGGACTTTATTGCTTCAGGTAACAGATAGCGTTTCCCGCATTCTCCCCTATTCTACAAACTTTCGTCGACTTCGTTAGAATTCCCTTTATTGGCTTCAAGCCGTTGCATTGATAAATGTATATAAATTAATACAATATTTACCATTTTGATTACCGCAAAGGTATAATTTTTGCTTGCCAGAGATAAGTGAATCATTTATGCACTATAACATACTTTAGATTTCGCTTTATTTTTTCATCATCTTTGAATATACAGGTTCCAACCAATGCAACTCCTGGGACATATAAAATTCGCGTCAATGGGACAGGAGGGTTGACTTTCAATAATGAATCCCAAGTAACTTTCAAGACCAAAACAATGTCCATCTTGATTCAGACTGACAAGCCCATCTACAAACAAGGACAGACCGGTCAGTTTTACACGGTTGTAGAAAGTCCAATTTTCACGTTATTCTTCCTTAGTGTCCGTGTGCTCATAGTTAATAGAAATGTAATGTGATATCCAAAGTGCCTTCACAATAGCACACCCTTTACTGTTTCAGTGTTATGTCAAGAAAGATGTTGGTACAATTTCTAACGTGGATGTCTCTTTTTCTCCCAGTGCGAATAAGAGCGTTGGTTGTATATCCCGACTTGAAAAGCTTCAATGGACCGCTGACAGTGGAAATTTACGTAAGCTGTAAAGTCATTATGTCAGCCATAAGCGTCAAGCAACCCATAGAGACCACTTTTGTTCGCCTTTTTGATACCTTTTAGTTACAGTCGAACGGCTTAACTACCTTATCATTTCCTTCTAAAATAAATACAGCTTTGTGAAGATGACAAAAATCAAGCCAAACAAAGTTGATTGATTACTGGAAGCGCTTTAATTTGGTCCAGAAAATCGTGTCTCCCATGCCTTACAATTTTAAACATCTTTTACCAAAGGACCCGTCGAATAACAAAATCAAAAGCTGGGTTGATCTCCAGGAGTCTTCAGGAGCTGTAGCCGCTGAACTTCTTCTCTCTGATCAACCTCCGCTCGGCGCCTGGACTGTCAGGGTGACGGCGGCAGTAGGTATCAAGTTTTCACAAGCTGAATATTTTATTGGTGAATTGATATAAAGTTAGAGTTAAATGATGTGAGAATGGCTGTGAAAAAACAATGTACGTTAGTGCTGTGGCTGAACCTGTTAATATTTATTGAATTAATAACTTCTGAAAGCGTAGAAACATGCACGTCATAATGTTATTTCCAAAGTAGGATGCTCCAGTAAATTACTAAAGGTTCAACTATAAACGATGTGAAATGAAATTTATACACAGAATATCTAGCTAAGACTGGCCATGGCAGCTCAAATTAGTGATCATATTATATGAATTAAAATGATGATATTATATTCTGGGATTTAAGCGTATTAGCTGTTTTGCAGTTCCTATGTTACTGGCAAAAACGTGCATGCAGCTTTAATATTTTAAAGTTTTAATTGTAAAACATCCTGTCACTTAAAGGGATAACAACTGTTCATTTTGGCCAAAAAATGAATTTTCCTGGGGTAAACAGCCATTTTTTCATACTTATCAATGGTAAATGAATCCATTTCTACATTAAAAGTTAGTCCCTGTTTTTTTCTAAAAAGTTCGTTTTTTTGTAATAATCTCTTAAGAGATCATTACAGAGTATATCTTTCTACGGAGGTCACATGGTCAGATAGCAAGCACATTTCAGATTTATTGCTTTTACTGTCGTTTTTGTAGCAAAATAGAATATATTATATTTCTATGAGTTGTTTACAATGTATTTATAGTGAAATATAGATCTCATATGAAGACACTAGTGGGTCTGATTTGGTCCTTAAGTGCAATTTAAGACTAAAACTAGTCTGAGGCGATCTTTAAGCTTAAGACCAAATCAGGCCCACTAGTGAGAGTTGTTATCCCTTTAACATGATCTGTTCAAATATTCAATTATTCTGTTGAATTATTCAACATTTTTCTACCAAGCTCCAAACTGAAGAAAAGGAATTCACTGTAACTGAATACGGTACGTTTATATAAATACTTTTTATACAATAAACGCCCAAGTGGGTTGTCACATTAAAGACAGAATGCTGGTATCAGACTTACGCTAAGCTATGACTTGCGTGGCTTGCGTGACGTTACTATTTTGCTTTTCGAGTTGTTTTTTAATATAGGGAAAATAAAGTGGATACGTATTAGAAGTGGTCAAATTTAAGGTGCATTCAGAAAAATCGAACCACGGACTAATTCACTGGCAGATCAAATATGGGCAACCCACTTGAAAGCAATCAGGCAATTAAGAATAGAACATCCGATGATCTACTGATCCACTGATCAGAAATGGCGAAACCTACATGAAAGAAGAGCCAACTTATTGCCTCGAAGGCCCCATTCAGAATAGATGATATGAGTACTAACTGATCCACCTACTAATTATGGCCGACCACACTTCAAAGGAGATGTCGCTGATTCCCGATGGTCTCCCCGTCTCCACACGCGCTGTCACTGCAGGGGCCTAGCAATTAAACCTCGGAGCAGAGATTTAATCCGTTTAATGGTGTGTGTCGAGGCGGGGAGACCATCGTGAATCAGCGGCATCACTTTTGAAGTGCGGTCATCCATATTTAGGCTTCGTTCACATGAAAAATCTATTTTCTAAAAATCTATTTTCTTTTTGCGGTATATTGTGATCACGGTTTGTGCCCTGAATACCCCGTGGCGTAATTACTGGCAGCGCGAGCCAGTTACTTCCAAAGCTGTAATTAATTCTCGGCTGCGCTCGGAGTGATCACAATATACCGCGAATAGAAAATAGATTTTTAGAAAATAGATTTTTCATGTGAACGAAGTCTAAGTTGACGGATCAGTAAGTACTCCCGCCCATTAAAAATAAGGCCTAAATCTCAGCCCCACTTCGATCAGGTCAGAGGATCAAGGCAAACATCAACATATAACACCGAACTGTGCCTTGTTGAAAGTGGAGCCGAGATTTAGTTGCTGTAGATCCAGTGTCAACGGGCGTTTTATAAACTCATAGATGCAAGAGGTCTTGAATATAGTTGAAAGCAAATTGATTAGCTCCAAAAGGTTAAACGGTTCGTTTTACATTGATTGTTAGATGATTCTCACCCATTACATTATGCAATTACTGACATATTTCCCTTTTTCAGTTGAACCAAAGTTTGATGTTGCTATGAACATTCCATCCTACGTATCATCCACAGACACTATTATCAGTGGAAGCGTGGTAGCTAAGTAAGAATTGTGGTTAACTTCGTGCCTACCAGAATACTGTACATATGTAATTGTTCATTTCAATCGAAGTTTGCATCTAATTTTGGCATACGTTTCCAAAATACAAATTATGTATTCCTCATGGCCCGATTTTCAACAGAAGAACGGTCGGGACATTTTTCAATTTACTTGAATCGGGACAGTCTTGCTGTAAGTATCATCAACCGAAAATATACAATGCACATTACAGTGGAAAAGTGGAACAGTTTTGTGATTTTGTTGGGCTTTCGAAAATGCTCATTGTTTGGCATGAAGGAATCGCAGCCTGCAAAAGCATATTAGCAGAATGATCCTTTTCAGAAAGGATAGGAAGACGCATGTATGCTTTTATGGGCGAGGTAACCGTATTTTTTAGAACTCGGTAAACAAATACTCCGTGTGTCGTTTCAAGCTCTGTCTAAGTGCGATTCTCTTTTCCAGGTACAGCGATGGAAAAGGGGTGGACTGTTTTGGCAATGCAGAACTGCCTTTAACGGACAACTCCCAAATAAAACGATTGGATTTTGTAAGTATACAGTGCAGTAACTGAAGCCAAGCAGGCTGCTGAAAGTGGCAGTTTTCTGCTAGATGTGAGAGTGTGTTCGAGGGGGCTGGGGTGTTAAAAATGAGCCCCATTTATAGTTCATGAATCTCCTCGTTAAGTTCAAAGAACTCAAATGCCAAAGGGTCTAAAATTTCATCGTCATCAAAAATGTTTGATCGGAGCCGATCCGCCGTACCCCCCCCCCCCCAATAAAACAATACAAGCTCGATATCTCCACTGGCCACTGTTTTATGCCATTCTGTCTACTTGAACGGCTAGATCGTGGTTGTATGTCGTTTTAGGTCCTCGAGGTCCATATGCTGTTCCTACAAGTGATGATTTTTCCATTTGTTGGCCTCTCAGAATGTGTCCTACGAAGGTGAGCTTTCTCTCTGTGAGGAAGTCAAGCAGTCCTTTTTCATATCCGAATCGTCTCAGCACTTCATCATTCGTAGTCCTTGTAACCCAACTAATTCTAAGAACACGCCGGTAGCACCATAATCCAAAACTTTCTCATCTCTCTGTATCTGGTTTTCCATCACCCAACATTCCGCGCCATATGAAGCTATTGAAAAAAACTACAGAGTTGAGCAGTCTCTTCTTTGTATTAAGAGAAATGTTTTTGTCTTCCCAGACCTTAGTTAAGGGGATTGTGGCACTCTTCGCAAATGGAATTCGGCGTTTAATTTCTGGAGTGTCATCGTATTTGTCAGTGAATATTGCACCAAGATAGATGAATTGTTTCACGTTTTCAGCCTTATCAGCATCGATCAGGGTATGACTGTTCCCTACATCCTCTGTATCTTCATCATAATTGTTTTCGTAGTGTTAAGAAAATGACCAACTTTGTCGCTTTCTGTTCTCACCCTGTCAAGCCATACGATTCTTGAGGTTTGAACACAGAGCTAGCAATTAGGACTATATCATATCTCAGGTTTGACACATTTCCTTCGACCTTGACATTACCTTCATAATCTTCAAGAGCATTTCTCATAATGGATTCAGAGTAGAGGTTGAAAAGGTGTGGCTGGATAACATGTATATTTGTGAAACTGAAAGTCATTGCGATACTCTGATCATACATGTTTTATCTTGAACATTTTCACCAGCTCAGCCTGGCGAAAAAGTATGAATAAAAGAATAGATCTGAGCTCCAATGGAGACATACTTACCATATCCCTAAAAATTTAAATATCTAAGAAAATATACCTTAACGAAGTACACTATCATAATTATAATTATGATTTAAAAATGCAATGACATATGCTATAATAGAAACTACTGATAAATTATATTGATAACTTTCCACGTTTCTTCACGAAAAGGTTGACGGAAAAGGAGACTTTGAGTTTTTCGTGGGTTCCATGGGTCAATTTGGTGAAGTTGAAAAGAAGTATCAAACAGTGCAAGTAAAAGCATCTGTCAAAGAAACCCTCACAGATCTTTCACAGGTTGTGTGGTCGGAATTTACGTTCTATTCTTCGCCATACAAGATAGAGATCCTGGGGTCCACCCCAAAGGTTTTCAAACCGGGACTTACGTACACCGGCTTTGTAAGTTGAAGCGTGGTTCGGGCGAACTTTAGCAAAGAACTTTACCAAATTCTGAAAAAAATGTCAATACTAACGAAAATTGATCTACAATCTTCTTATATCTGATACAATTTTCTTATTGGTCAGGAATACTATTAACACTTTTAATTTTCATTCATAAGTTGCAAAGATATAAAGTTATGCGCCAAAGAAGAAATATCTCTACATTGTACATGAGCTCGTATCGTGTTATATCACAACAGGTAAAACTGAGCCTTGTAGATGGGACACCAATTGAGGGGGAGGACCAGAAACTTCAGATTGAGGCTCGGGTTACATATGCATTAGAGATACCCGAAGCTTTAAAAAAACTTCCGCCTTCCTACTGGGAACCTCTTATCGAGTATAAGACAGTTGAAGAACCCGTTCAGGAACTGAGCGTACCGAATGACGGTATTGTTCGATTTGACTTGGAAGTTAGCCAAGACCTAGCGACCGAAATCGCATTCACGGTACTGATTTGAATTGGGTCCAAACATATCAATTATCCTGTACTTTCTTTTCACTTACATTATATTTGGTGAATTTAATTTTAATTGTGAGTATAGACTTTATACATGTACCTGTGCAGGGTTGCTACTTAATATGGAATTTTTTTATCATTGTTACTTTTGAGTGCTGATTAAGTTTTATTTGGCTTGACTCATCAAAAAAGTATGTCACTGAGTGATAAAAACATCCAGTCTTCTGTTGTGAGATATTTTGGTCGATGATATTAAATCTGACATAAGATGCCATTCAAAAGGACACCCCCAGAAAACCATATCAACAGTTTGTTGTCAGTTTTAACTTTAAGCTAAGATATTAAAGAAATTTATAGCCTCCAGACAGTGATATGTTACACAGTCAAAGAACTCACTACAGTACATGAAAAATCAGTAATTGCGGGTATGACCTCCAGCAGCCGCTTGCAGCGCCCTCATCCTACATGGCATACCCTGTGACACGTTTTTTAGAGTTTGGATGGGGATATCATTCCACGCAGTGATATTTGCCTGTTGCAGTTCATCGCTATTTACTGGCCGATGACCATAGCTATTAATTCTGTGAGTTACTTTTGCCCAAAGTGTTTTAATTGGGTTCATATCTGGCAAGTTTGCAGGCCAGGGCAGTTGCTGAACCCATTGGTTTTGAAGAAAAACAGTGATTCTGAGGGCTCGATGTGGGGTTGCGCAGTCGTCTTGGTACACAAATTTGTTCCTGAAGATGACTCTTACCAATCGAAGCATTGTTAGCTGTAGAATGTCTCTGTAGGAATCCTGGATGAGGTTGCCTCCTAGAAAAACCAACTGGTTCTGGGCACTGACATGAAATGCTCTCCAAACAGAGACGTTACCACCCCCTGCTTGCACCCTAGGCAGTACACAATCATTGTGTTATGCCTCTCGTACACATCGGTGGACACGGATTCGACCAACAACCCTAAAAAATCCATTTCTAGCCTCATCACCGAAAACAACGTGATTCCAGTGGTTTGGCTGCAAACGCACGTGGTCCCCAGCCCATTGCAGACGTCGCTGTATATGATCTGCTGTTAACAGTGGTTTCAGTACTGGTGTTCGTGCGAAATAACCGGCTTGCAGTAATCTCTTGTTCACGAGGGACCTTGAAACGGGCATTTGAATGACATTCTGCCACTCTTTTCTGAGGACACTGGTTGTCTTTGTACGACTAGCACGGCGTACTCTAAGGAAAAGGCGATCCTGTCTTCTTGGTGTGATACGCAGACACCCTGGTCGAGGTATTGGAGTAGGTGCCCCTGTTGTAGCATTTTTTTTGAGGACTTTACTAACGGTCCCTGATAAATGTTGCATTGCCTGGCAATGGCTGTCCGTTTCTGGCCATTTTCTCTGAGAGCAAGAATCCCACAGCAGGCTGCGTTGCATATAGCTGTCGAACCATATCTTCTCTAAGGTACCTGTCAAGTTTCAGAGCGATCCCTTTGTTGCTTTTCTAAATACACTCCAAAGATTGGCCAAACCCATGCGCTTTTATACACGGGCAGAAATTGCTGAAAACACCACCCCTCACATTTCTGACCACAGAACATGCAACTGCATGCATCAATTCTTTCGAGAGTTGTGTGGTAATTAGGTAACACACCTGGCTGCACATGGAGTGACACCTCAGCTTTGAATTTAAAATAGTTAGAGAGAAATTAAATATTTTGTAGAAAATTTACTCGCCAAAAAATAATATTCCATATTAAGTGGTAACCCTGTATATATGCATGTCCACGACACTGGGTAACTACAATGGGTTATCGTCTTTAAAAATCTGTCAAAATATTCCTTTGTGTTGGATTACGGTGAGTGTGCTGCATGTTTAAAGGGGTAAATTTATCTTATTTTGTGTTTCTAAACATTGCTGTGTATTTTAAACTTTTTATTCTTATCCGAAAATGACACTAAAACAGCGCTTAAATCTGGGACACAGATATACCAGTCTGTTTTGCAGCTATACACTGTGGAAAAGAAAGGTGTCAAAATAGAAACGTCATGTTTTTTTTGGTCATTTGGGATCATTTACGGCACACGTTAGAGAAAAACAAAACATGCTCTTGGTCGCAAATTTTGATGGGTGGAGAAATCGAGCTGTGCGTTACCTTTGTTTCCGTTTTCAAATTCAGTACAAAGTATTACCCGGTATCTCCCATACAGAGGACTGCACCAGTCGATCAGTTTCGGGATTTAAATATCTGAAATACACTCTGCTTATCATAAAACAACACTGTGTAAGGAAATCCTGTCATCTGAGGGTGTCAGAAGTTATAACCTTTATGCGTGTAATCTATTTTCGTTTCCGTCAGACACGCACGACAGTTGAACCACAACTAGCTCACAGTTTTGTTTCTCCATTCAGATTCGGCCCTAAGGCTCGGCGTTAAAAGTGGAGCTTTTCATTGAAGACGTTATGACCCTGTCGTAAGAATATTAAATGAGACTTCTTAAATAAGCTAAATCCGGTTCCCACTTTTTGGCGTGTAACTCACGAAAAAACGGTGTCATCGCTTTTAAACCGCCGATTCAGAATCGTAGCGTGCTTTCCCAAATCTGAAGTTAAGTGTTCCGCTTCCCTGATAATTTGTATATGTGTTTAATGTTACATTTCCAAACTTTATGAATATAAAGCAAAACACGATGAATATTCTGAGCAGAAAGCGTGCTCACAAGATATATATATATATATATATATATATATCAATTAAAAAAATTAAGATAATTATATATGTACAAAAATCGCCAAATGACAGGTTAGCCGAAATTTTTGCTTGATGAATGAAGTACAAGTGCAAAGGGATGTACATGAACAGATACATTTCTTGTCTGGAAGCTGAGGGTGTGATGACACCTTTCCCTTCACACAAGTGTACTAATAAAATATTATTTACGATGAATATCAATTAATAACATGATTATTTAATTTTCTTATTCATCGCAGTTTACTTACGGATCAAAGGTTGGATACCTGACCGTTTATGGCTTTAGGTCTCCTAGCGACAGTTATATTCAGGTTTTATCGAAAACGCCATCGATACAGGTAAAGCAAGTCGTATTCATTATTTAGTTTCATCATGTTGTTTTTACAAATGCATTTTTATACTACGTAAACACGCTTGGCATATTCTTATCTTTAAATTTCGGGGAATTATTAACAAACGAACAACACACAATGAAAAAACTGGAACATTTAAATGTTGTTTTCTTAATTAAAGGTGGGGAGTAATGCTGAATTTAAAGTCCAGGCGACAGAACAAGTAACCACATTGGTTTATCTGGTAAGAAAGCCATTTTCTGATAACATTCAAACTTTAGGCCGTAAACCAATACCACTCGGAGAAAGCTCAGTCATCACCTTGCTCAACGCAATATGTGCATTTGGTTAAGAGAAAGATTTAAAACATGCGTGTAATGCAATATGGATGTAAATGAGAATTATCAAACACAAACCGTTTACTAACGGTATGAAAGTATTTGGGCTCGTGTTTGATAATTTTGATTTATGATCAAACTACCAAGCTAATGAACAATTTTGCTCATATTATGGATGTAAAGGATTTCCCTTTTATTGATGTATTATTTTTGGTTATTTTTGTTTCATTTATTGCTATTATTTTGATAATGTGAATTCCAGAAAATTGCACACTGCATATGACACTGTTCATTTATAATACATCACACTGTAGATAATTTATTTGATTATCTAGATTAGAAAGGGAAGAATATGTTTATTCGCCAAACTGTCACTTTTTTACAATTTTGAACTAAATATCATCAACATTTAAACCGGGTAGCTAGTAAAAATATTCTAATAGGAGTACATAAACTAGATTCCTTCTTACCTCCTGCCATGCTTGATCTTGAATTGAGGTGTTTCTTCACACTATATGGAATTTATAACACGGTGGATCTGCGTCATTTAAGGTATATTAATCACATTTTGTAATACATTTGATTTGAGAGAAAAACAGTGCAATGACCATAAGAAATCAACACATCACGCTAAACAGATTAATAAGATGGATCCGCCTACTGCTTAACACCCTTAGATGCAGAGCTAAAACCCTGTAAACTCACCTCCCTATCATTCCTGGACACGAGAGAGACGTACATGCTGATAGTAGAGAGAGGAGTTCCCAGAGAGCTCTGAAACTCAGGTTTACTGTTTTAATAACGTTTTAATCCCTGTAGGTCATCGCCGGTGGAAATGTTGTGTCAACGAATAAAGTGTCCCTGAACTCCAACATGACTTTTAAAGTTGCCATCACCCCAGATATGGCACCCAAATCTAAGATGGCCGCCTACTATGTACGCAGTGACGGCGAAGTCGTCGCAGACGTTCTCAATTTCAATGTAAAGGGAGCATTTAAAAACCAGGTAATCGCATGCGAGGAACAATTCTAATCACCTTTAGATTTTGTTAGTTCTTTGAATTCGGTTTCTTTCCATATCATGAATTAAACTGTCGTGTGATTTTATCGATTAGCAGTGAGTGTTAGGTTCTGTAATAAGTCACCCCATGTTTTTCACATAAAATGCAACATTTAATAAATTATTGTTCATAGCAAGCTTACCTTATAATCAAATGCAGCATTTAATAAATTATTATTTATAGTAAGTTTTCATTGTTTTCTTTGTTCTGGGTCAATTTTAGGTGTCCATAAAATTTGACGATACCAGGGCAGAAGTTGGGCAAAAAGTAAGCATGTCATTGAGTGCCGATCCTGGATCGTTTGTGGGGATCTTGGCCATAGACCAAAGTTTGCTCCCCTTTAAATACCTGCATGACGACTTCACGGAAGAGAAGGTATTAGTCTTAATGAACTTTGTAGTGAATGTCACATACTGTATATTTGTCACACAAGAAACATTGTTTCAATTAAAACAAATGTCAATAAATATATAAATAAATAAGTAAATAAAAGGTTCTCCCTACAATGAAATGCAGGGTAAATACGAGGTCATCCAACATACCTTGCTAACTCTATTGAGATAACAAACAAAGTGGACGTTTTACTTCAATTAAAACACACACAATTATTTTTTACCATATGAAAAATTACACCGAATTATAGGCTATATATGTGGGAAACTCGTTCCCGTTATTCAACGTAATTTAATTAAAATGAGATGATTGTGTATTCTTCACTTAAGGTTTTGAGAGAGCTTGATAGTTATGACACTAAGAGAGAGACAAACATTGCCAGGAAGAAGCGCTCCATACTGCAGAACATCATTCCGTTAGGTGGCATTGACGTCTATGACATGTTCCAAGTAAAGTACACGTGTCTCTTTTCAATCAAAATGAAGTAAAATGGTTTTGTTCGTTGTATCCGAGGACCAAGTGGTGGTCAAACATGAACAAGACATCAATAGCTTCAAGTATTACCCGATGAAGTGTTTGAGTCATGTAACCAATTATTAATTCGTTTAACCACCGAAGTGTTAGAATTTAAAACGTAAGCTACCAAGTCGATTAATCAACAGTCGGCTGTTTCTACATTTTCAAACACCAAACAACGTTAACCTACTTTAATACATATGCTGAATATTATTTTATCGGACTTTTGATTGGCATGCTTGTAATGCATTGTGATTCCATTTGGCATATGCTAAAACAATCATTACAGTCAACTGGCAAAACTGCTATAATCTCATAAAATGGATATATAATGATAGCGACTTTTGTCATTGCACTGTAAAGAGAATGTTATATAAACAATCTTAGAAAAGTTTTTTTTTAAATTTCAGAACTTTGGTGTTATTGCATTTACCGATACTATGATCTACAGTCACAAAAACACAGCGGCATGTAAGTTGGGCAGTTTATTCATTTCTTTTCGAAATGTGAAAAAAATAGTTTATTCAAACGGTCGATAGAGAACATAAAACGGACGACGAACGCAAACGATTTTATTTGTTTGGTTTAAGTTCTGTTGCAAAGCTCAATCATGTGTTTTAGCATTCAAAATGTGCGTTTATTAGAACCATTCGCAGAACAGCGTTCTACGTCGAAATCAACGTTATTACACATTGTTTTAATCGAACAATTTAGTCAATAAATTTCAATCAAAGATGGGCAAATTGATAATGTACCGTTATGGCAAGGTGGGAACAATGTTTATTGTGAAATGTGTGTTCAGTTCCTCTGTAATATGTATTCACTTAATAAAAATGTAAGATAACTATGCCTCCTTCAGTGGGTTTTATGACGACGCATTTGCGTGTGAACCTCCATGTGGTTCCCAAATATAACGAGACCTTGCCATGGCCTAACTATGTATCTTATCGTTTTTTTTTGTTAGGGGAGGCAGAAAGTAATAATGACGTTGGCAGTTTGGCGGATATAGAGCCAATGCAGTCATATTTTAAAGAAACTTGGCTTTGGACCAGTGTCACATTAGGGTAGGGTATTAGTTGGCAATACCGTATATCTATTTGCATTTAAAAAAGGTTTCTTAGACCCTAAATTAAATTAACCATACACGAATTCATACCAAACGTTGGATGTATATGGGTAATAGAGCAGTCTGAAACACAGTGCTTTGCCTTCATGTATTTTCACATGGACAATTGGACTTGCTCAAAGTTAATTTTTGCCGATTACGAGAGACTTTGAATTGACTTAACTCCTTAATTTTATCTTGTTAATTCCCCAGTGCAACAGGCACGACTTCACTTAATGTCATACTGCCAGGTGGTACCTCGTCATGGGCAGTCAATGCGATTGCAGTTCATCCAGAAACCGGTCTGGGAGTGGCAAAGACAGAGGTGATCTAAACATTGCTTTTCTTCACCAAATAATGTGATTGAAATATTAATAGTATTTATATCACAGGAAAATGAAGATAGAATTAATAAATTTTGCGAGCAGGGCAATTTTCTCGCTAGCATATAGTAGCGGAGGTGCAACCGAATGGGTTTAAGATTACGAAATGCATTAATGTGGTTTGAGCTTTATGTGTAGCTCATATTAGCAAAATATATTTGATACCCACACAGTATGAAATATGTAGCGTATATTACTATTTTGAACAATACATTGACTCGTGCCAAATGTGCAAATGCGTATATGCATATGTTGTGTCAAGATCATATGATATGTTTATCAAATACACACTAAAGGATATGCATTACTTCATAAATGAAAGAATGATAATTGGTTTATTGTAGCTGGGGGCATTCCGTAGGTTCCTGGTAGCAGTGTACATGCCAGATTCGGTCGTGCTTGGAGAGAAGTTGATCCTTCGAGTGGCAATTTGGAACGTTATGGGCATTGACTTGGACGTAAGACAACGTGTTTAGTTTCATTAATCACGTATATATCACGTGAAAATAAAAGTAAAAAATCTGAACTATACACCTTATTACTGGTTTTAATCAAGTGTGCCCTGTGCTAAATTTCGATTTTAACGACCAGTAATGATGTTAGAGATATCAAGAAAACATATGAATAAATAAAGGAAAAAGTGAAAGGTGAAGCAGTGCACTGAGGTTAAAAATGTTATCAATTGAAATGTTGAGAGATGTAAGCATATCTGTTAATTCCTCGCAAACCGAAATTCAAATTACCATTGTTTTTAAGGTTGACGTTATATTGGAAAAGTCAGACGGGTTCAAGAGCATAGTATTAGGCACGGATGGAAAGCCAACAACTGTATCTGAAGCACAAACGCAGAAAGACAGTGTACGTGAAGCTGTACCGTATATATCGTCGTAGTCCAAGATTTGGTTCTTAAACCCCTTTCAATATGTACCTGCTATACAACATTGGTCAAAAAGGTTGTCCCACCCCCAGTATCATGTGCTTTTCTTTATAAATGATCACCTCACAGGTGAAATTTGTTATAAGTAGTGATTTTCATTCCAGATACCATTACTAACATGATTAATGGAACAGAAAATACAAACTAGCGGTAAAAATATCAATATTTAATAGCATTTATTCACATTAAATACATGTACCCCCTTAATTCCGACGTTTCACTGTGATTTTAACAGAGGCAAAGAAATGTCCATTAAATTGAAAAGACACCACCAAATGTCACCAAATTTACACACATTTAGCATTAGGGTGTGCTCGTAAAAGGTCACGTGTCTAATAGCGTGTGTGTCTACCGCATACTGTAATTATCTCCTGTAGGCGGCGCGGCCTGCCTTCAACAAGGATAACAATTCTGTTTTGTGGGATATTGTCCCATTCTTCCTAAAGAGATTGGGGGAGTCGGTTCAGATTATTAGGAGATTGGTTCTCCTTCGCATTGCATACTTTATTTCATGCCACAGATGCTTAGAATGATTAATATCAGGGGTCAAAGATTGTTGGCCCATCCTCTGAACATTGGGTTTCTGCAACAATCACTCAGCAGACGAGAACTGTGTGCAAGTGCATTTCCACGATGACGCCTGCAGTATCCTTGATGTCACCTTTTACAAATGGAGTGAGGTACTTGTTGAGAATGTTTCAGTGAATTGCCTCAACAATGTTCTTTTTCGGAAAGAACAATTTACTGAAACCATGGGCTGGAATGCTCTCGAAACGTGGACTGACCTGACACCTCAGGCGACAATATCCTGCACCTTCCAAAAGCATTCTGCAACTTGTTTAGGGGCCCTAATTTGACCATCGAAGGCATACGAGAAATACCTTAATTTTTCAGCAAAACCAACTTTTTCCTAATGATGGTTAACCAAGTTCTGGTAGTTCTGTGGTCACTGAACCTAACATTACCAACTGATATCTTATTCCGTCTGCAAGAGGGGACTTTAGGGGTGGTCCAAGGTTTTAAGGAAACATGGGACAATATCCCACAAAACAGAATTGTTATCCGTGTTGAAGGCAGCAGCGCCGTCTACATGAGGTAATTATTATAAAGCAGAATCCTGACATAAATTTCCTAAGTATGTTCAGAGAACGAATCATTAGTGGGTACGTACAAAACTGGCACAGTGAGCTTGAGCACAATTCCAAATCCAGAGTATATTGCCAATTCAAAAATACATTCAAAAAAGAAAAATATCTAGACCTTCTTCACGATACTGATAAAAGAAAAAACCTAAGCCGTTTTCGCACCAGTTGGCATAAACTTCACATTGAAACAGGCAGATACAACAACACTCCTCGGACCAACAGAATATGCCATTACTGTTCTAAAGACAAAATTGAAGACGAAAAACACTTTCTCACAACATGCCCCCTATACAACGACCTGCGCACAATATTATATAAGGTATTTACAAAACACGATACACATTTTGGCCTAAAAACAACTGATGAAAAATTTACTATAATTATGAAATTTCAAGAAAAAGAAACCATTATTGCACTAGCTTAGTTTCTCTCCTCTGCTTTTGCTAGGAGGGATCTACAAGACAGTGCTGCACTCATCGGCAATTGAGTAATAGTAGTAATAGTAATTTTTTTTTTAATAGTAAATAAGTAAATATTCTTACTCATTGTGATTGTTTAATAACATATTCACAAAAATTGTATTCATATTGTCATTTTCATCCACACAAGTGGATGCATATGTTACAGTGAAATAAACTATCTAAATTAATCGGCTGCCCTGGTAGTGGTTAACACAGGGCCTTGCTTGCTGATTGAATATTTATTTTAGGCTTCTTGCAAACAGTTGCTTGAAATTTGCAGCAAATTGCAAGTGGAAATTTACCATGTAAATTAGGTCTCTTGCAAATTTGCTGCAAACTCTCCGCAACATTTATTAGCATGACAACAGGGAATCTACCACAGGTTTCTTACAAATTTGCAGCAAATTTTTCAGAACTGTTCTTGCAAATTTGCAGCAAACTGTCAAGAATCTTTCTTGCAAATTTGCCGCAAACTGACAAAAAATATTTAACTGATTAATTTTGCATCAATTAGTGCGTTGCTTTATTTCATATTTAATCCTTTTAATGTATGCTTTATAAAAAACTACGAGTTGTAATAGTTGGATTTTATTATTAATATGCGTATGCAATATAGTACAGCGAGGAGAACACACAGACAGAAAAACATCCCGATAATGATGTCATGCATCAACAGCACACACGCAATTAACAGTAAAAACTCCATTATAGATTTTCAGTGTTTTATTGTGACATCACAGTGAAATAATACAAAATGTCATGAGACAGAAATTCACAAACAACTACAGGCAAGACGACCGAGGTAGACATATAGTAAAGCAACAGGGGAACATCTGGATGGGAATTGCTAGAGCACCACACTTTTTTAATATTCCCCTACCTATAACTTTTGCATTCTTTTACTTTTCCAAAGTATTTTTACATTCTTTTTCATCTATCCCAAAGCTATGTAATGTTTATATATATATATATATATATATATATATATATATATATATATATATATATATATATATATATATATATATATATATATATATATATATATATATATAATTACATGTGGTCTTTCCGTCTATAATATAAGTGAAAACTGAAAGCATTTGTACACTTAGTCACAAGCTAAATCATGTTACCTCAGCATTACCAATGGAATTGTGGGAATTTATTAACTCCGGTACTCTGTTCGTATTTTACGTTTAATCCCAGTGGTTTTATCTTGGGTTTTACTTTATCAAAAACGAATTTTGCAACACTGCTAGGGAAACTTTTTATTTATTTATTTATTTATTTATTTATTTTTTGGGGGGGTGCTCCGTAAAAGATAATTAAGGTGTGGTCACGGTTGAGAGATCACGGATATTCTTATGTTTGGACTTATTCAATCATACGATATAAAAATACTGGTACCTATCTTAATAATTAAGAAATCTATTAGCATATGTAAAATGAGAACAGAAATCCTAACATGGGATGGAAATATATAGTTGATACGTTACATACTACAGAACTATTTGTTTATAACTTTATATCTGTATACAGAAAACATGTTAAAAGGAAATTAGAAAATATTAATCATACATTACAATTAAATTGATGAGCACTCATTAAAAAATATACTCCTTGGTATTTTTACTGTAAGGTTGAACAACTATCTTTCTATCCTTATCTGCACTACTGTGATTGCAATATTTATACTGAGGTGTGTGTGTGTGTGTGATTCATAGGCTAACACCCCATTTCCATAGATTTTTAGATCGATCTATCCCTGTGGGGAGTCTCACTAGATTACTGTCAGCTTGGCCGGCTTAAGCGTCTGTCCCGCCTACTAAAAGCTCTAAGGGGGTAATTAACTATGGTGTCCGCTCGGCTGACTGCAATTTAACCTGAACCCCCAGGGAGTTAGGTCGATCTAAAACTTAATCTTTAGATCGATCTTAATCTCTGGGAAAGCACCCTTAAATTAACTGTTATATTATATTTTGTTTGCTTTTATATAAAAATTTATTTTTGAAAAGGCCAGTTTACAGATGTATGTTCGTTCTTGTTTTGAATGTTTGACAAGGAATGTCCTCAAAATAATTTTAGGGCTTCGTTGCTAACTTTGCCCATAAACAAAGAGAGTAAAAAAATAGAAAATTGAAGAAAAAAGAGAAAATGAGACTGGATGGCGAGCGAATTTGTCCCAGGCCACAGGTGAATTATTTGAAGTAGAATATTCCTGACAAGGTCGCGTCAGATAAAACGTTGAAGCACAGTGTCTTATTTAGTGGAAATGGATTTCCTTAAAGTTGGAATTATAGGGATCCAATTAAAAACTAAACGAGGCGACTTTAAAGCGAATAACATAAGGGTGAAGGAAAAGAAAAAATATATTAAGAGGCATTTTTAAAAAAACAAAGCACGCCCGTTTAAAACTGATGAACAGACTCTACTGACATTCGAGAAACGTCAATCCATTTACCATTAAATGACCTTTTCAGGGCACCAAATGATGTCCTTATTGCAGAGATAACGATAAACTGCATGGTACAGTATGTAGGCGAGACGCCTACATCTCTATCCATTACTGATCTTCAAGTAGCCCTTACTCTGCAAGAAGTGCTTTCAGAAAAAAAACACGTTGAGCTTCCTATAATCTAGACTTCGCTAATAAATGAACACCAAGAGACAAAAACACAGCTTTCAATCTCTTGTAAGTTTTTAATGATATTCACTTTACGTTTCCTCTGTAATAATGAAAATCGAACCTTAAGCCTCGGTCACAACCGGACGCACGTTTGTTTGTAATTCTATATTAATTAATTACAAACATGAATAAGTAAATGAATAAAACACGGGGGCTATTAAAATAAATAAAAAATAATAATAAGTAACTATAGACAATAAGATATTCGAAATCATTTATTGAATAATTAATTGATGTAAATGTCACTACATGCGCCATTAGTTTTAATATGCCAAGGGACAGGCATATCGTCCCCGGGAGATAATGTAAAGACATAAGTAAATAAAGACATGAGTACATAAGGAGCTGGGAGTGTTTGGTTGAGTAACTTTAGTTGATTGACATGTTCTTATGATATTTAGACAACTGCTCATAATGTAAACGGGGAGAAGGCCGCTAGAGATTGCATGAGGTAGAAATAGAAAGGAAGAGAGTGGCGCGTGTTAAAATGTTTTGTAATTCTGGTTATGGGATTCATGAAAAAAAGTTAAATGAGATATATCATTTTGAAGAACAGCACTCATGATGTAAGTGGCAAACCAAAATGCTGTGTAATAAGTTAAGGGGACCCCACCTCCTTGGACTGGGTCCTTTTTAGCAAAACTACACACCGAGCCATA